ATTTTAACTTTTAGGGTCGTTTTTGTTGTAATTCGGTTATAAATACCCGTAGAAACTTGAAACTTGGTAATAATACTTATATTGGACTTACCTAAACGTGGTACAGTTTCCAAAATCATCGGGAGACTTTTTTCCTTTTAATAAGTGTTTTGAAATCTTAAAAAAAAAAATGATGGCACTTAAAATTATGTATTACCGAACTGCGCTCGAAATAGTCTTTCGTCAAACAATGGTTTATCGTTGCTTACATATATAAATGAAATAACCTTACGTATCCTACCTTCCCAACTTCTCACCTACACAGTGGCCGCTCCTGTCCCAAGTATCAGCTCTTTTTTTTTTCTATTTTAAAAATCCAATAGAAATTACTTTAAGTAATGCAGAAAACAAAAATATTTAATCTTATTCCGAAGTGTCAAGTGTAGCACTTTTTCTGAAAGGAAATTGTTTTTAGTTCGTGCATTGATAAAGTTATTTTTTGATTTACATAAGGATTTTCAAAATTGTTGGAAAAAAACCAAAAGAAAATTATAGGTAAACGGCAAATACATATTTACGGCTTATGTTTTCTACATTAAATATTGCTCCAATAGAAAAACAATAAGAAAACCTTTTTTGTTTAATTTTTAATCCAAAGGTGAGTACTGAGTTTTTTGATATTCTCTGTAGTTTTATAAATAATTGAGTAAAACTGAACAAATACATAAAAAGAACGGGAGAATTTATGAAAACTTTTCTTTTATTATTTTTAATTTTGTTTTTTAATGTAATCCAGTTAAAAACATTTGTAGACTAAACATTCTGACAGAAAAATTATATTTATTTTTTCTAGACGTGATTAAATTTTCTAAACATTCGGCTCATTTTTGAGCTATTTTCAGACATTTTAATTTTGTGAGTTTTTTACATAATTTTTATTCGGTAGGTACTCTGTGGATAAAATTGTTAATCAAAAGTCGTAAATATTATGGCCATTTAAAATATGTATAACCTAACTCCACTTAGATTTGGTTTTCGGGTATATATTAAATTCCCTTCTATATCCTAGCTTCCCAAATTTTCATCTATACAAATGGTTCACACATCGTTGGAAATATATCAGTCTTTTATTTTAAAATTATTTTTGCATAAAAAATATTTTATTGGTATATATTTATGTCGACTAGTTAAACATCTTTTTTCTCCGGGTTTATCATTCTTGCAAAAGTAAATCCTGTAGTGATTTCCCATCATGTCATAGTATCATATCAACTATAAATTGTTCAATTAGAATTTTCCAAAAGTCGATAGTGATGACATTTTAGAATATTATAATGTCTTGTTAAATTGGCCACGGGGCTTACACGGTTATATTAAAATTCAACGTGCTACACTTTAAATATTACTTTAAATATTATATTATATCGATCGATCGATTAAGTCTTTATGACTTTTTTCCCCTTTTTAATATGTACTTAAATGTTAAAATAAAAAATATCAAAAACGAAATATTGAAATATTCACACATAAATTATTGTTCAATATATAATATTATAGTTTTAAAAATTTACCTTGAAACAAAATTATTGCATTTTGACTTATTCAACATGTTTTTTTTATTTTATAAATTAGTTTAATATTTTAAAAAAAGAAAAAACTAAGAAACCTAAAAAATAAATAGTAATTTTAAGAGTAAAGTTTTTTTTAGTAATTATATACGTGTCTATTAATACATTTTTGGTCCTGAGCAGTGGCGGTTTGGCGAGGGCGAGTCCAGGGAGTCTGGACCCTCTCTAGACTCCGATTTCAGATTATGAAAATAGATTTTGTGTTATAATTTTTAACTTTTACTTGATCTCTACTGTTACCTATATGTAAAACATTTATGTACATTCATGTAGATAGGTAAAATAATAATATGTAAGTTAATTAAAACGAATTAATAAACATAGGGTAAATAATTTTTGTATATTAAGTATATTTTAAGTTAATATCAAAGGACCCTTTCTTTACCAAGAAAAAATTTCAAAAACCCCAATAGTCCTATAGACAAGAAAAACCTAAATTATAAAATTGCAGAATGGTTAAATTTACTAAATGGCTTAAGAAGTTAAGTTGTATAATTACATGACTTTTGCCTTTTTCGCAAAACAAAAAGTATATCATAATGACTTAAGGTACTTTAACTTTCAGTACAATATTAATTGTTAGAATATACATAATACTCGTGTGCCATTTCGACTAAAAAATAAAGGAGAAAAGATTACATAAAACAAAATTGACTTTAGCACTTCTTCTCCGGAAGCAAGTATAAAATTACAGTTTAAAAAAAAAGAAAACAGGGTTTTTACTAAGTATTATCTATAAACATAGATGCCTATAAATATTTAAAAAAATCGAAATAAAACTACATTCAAATTGAGTGTTCCGAAAAATTTCTTTAGCTTCGTATTAAGTAAACTAGTTAATTTTTTTTGAAAATTCCGTTAAATAACGGACTATAATATACATGTATTGTGTTTGCTTTAGATACACACAGTTTCAAATATAACAATCGATTTCTTAAGTGTTCTAGACAATTCGACAACGAAAACATACGCTACTTAGTACTTATATTAAAAATTAAAATAGAACACCGACAAATATTTCTAATTTTCCACCGCCGATTGGTCTAAAACTTCATATTATTATTATTATTCGTCCGTATCACTTCCCTCTAAACGGATGTCGGGCAATAGATTATAATAGTTGCTAATGTTTGTATATTTTGTATGATGATTCTAGCATTGAACTTTCAAACTGTAAAAATAAGAACTACCATAATATTATATTATAGTATCGCTAATGTGTTACAGTTGATATCGTAACGGTTACTGGTCGGGTAACAAAGAAATTTTGTACATAGATACACTCAAGTTCCACTTAAAAATTTAATCATATTCTAATTCTGTTTATTTTTCATCGCTTGTTACATTTGTATTAATCGTTCACGTCACTGGTGCAGTAGTTTAACAGCTCATTGAGCCGCAGATTAATAGTATTTATATCTCGATCGCGTAATTAACTATATATTAAAAATTAATACCCAGATAGAATTAAAATATACTCAAAATGTCGTGCTGTAAGGGAATATTTGGTTGATCGTGCACGTGTCGTAGATGTGCCACATTAAGAGGACACTACACACGCACAGCGTGTTGCTACTATAAATGATTTTAAACCGCAGAACTCTAATCGCTCTAGAAATTAAACCATTTATATGTATAAGAGACGAAACAAATAAAACGTTTAAACGGTTTTTTAATAAAATAATTACGAACAAAGTTGGTAAATCTCAAATTTTCGAGTCGAAATCGTATCGTTTTGAAAAAAATTAATTTCACACATAACATGTCCTCGTCGATATAAGGTGAAATTTGCATGATGTACGCATGTTTTGATAAAACTACTTACACGCAACACCTCGAAAGTTTACTGTGTTTTGTGTTTGAGAGTTCGCGTATAGACAATTTTAATGGCCTTTTAGAATACTTTAAAAGTGATCAATTATACGGAACTACGCGGGATACTCAGTACAAATTAACCGTCGCGTTTAAAATGCAACAACAAATGTCTTTGGATCAATCTAAATTATCTAATAATAAGGTGGTGATAAGTACCCCGCAAGCTATTTTCATATATTATAATTAAAAATTTGAACGGTCTGAACAAATAATTTTTGTCGACCGAGTTGTAGGAAAATATCCATTATTCCCTAACGTCTACGTCCTTATATGGATATAAACAAAAACCTTTGTTCTTATTTATAATTTATTTCCGTTTTAAATTTTAATTAAGTTTGTATACTTTCCGTCTTTCCAGTTATCGGTACTTATTTTACCGTTTTTTTTTTTTTTTTTTTTTTAACAAAATGTAATATAATAATAGTATACACTGCAGGTAGTGCAGGTGTAATTACAGGCCATAGTCCGGTCCAAGCGTTATGTAAATAGCGAAACCAGTAGTGGTGTCTCATCGGTTAAATTTTAGGTTTACACTTATAACTTTCTCTGTTTTCCCTGTGCTTTACTTAAACCTGTAGTGACTATTCGACGACTAGGTAATAGCCAATAAGTTTTAAGTTCATGCTCAAGACATTGATTTGCTTATCAGATTTGGATCGACGAGTATAGATTGTGAATCTCCTAAAACCATCTCGGTTAGATTTCGGCTCGGGTCGAAATTGAATAGGGTCTGTAAATACGCAGACGGGTCAAAGGTAAAGACTAAAAGGATTTGACATATCCTCGGGAAACGGTATAGGCCAATCCGCCATGTATTCGTATCGTTGCTAGGTCGACAAAATTCAAATTTATAATATACAATAGATATGCCCGGTTCTTCTTTTTTCATGAGATAGCCAAGTGGGTCTTATTCTTAGCATTTTGATTACTACATCGTGACGTCTTTTCGTAAGAAATGACGGCCGAGGATTTTTTGAAAGTTTTATTTCGTTGAGTTTTGTATGTTGGGATGCCCAACGTGTTTTCTACTGATGTAGTGTATGTTTGTTTTTTCCATACATGATATTTTAGACGGAAAATTAAATTTCTACTCGCGTATAATGGCCACATTATACCTAGGCATTCAACGACGTGATCCAATATTCGATCCGAAATACCGCGCGTAACATTGTGTAGGTTGCTGCGTAGTAGGTATACGCGCGCATAACGTTTTTAAAATATCACATTAAGTCACACGAGGCGGTCGTCGTTGTTTGCAGATAAATCCGTTGACGTGAAAACAGTATGTGTTATACGCGCCATGATATTTCTCGCCGAAATATCATTCGTCGTTGACACGTGGCCGATACGCGACTTTCTTTTGCTCGGCCGCGAATACGCTTGCATTACGTGTCGATAAAGGTATGTCCATTCGGGCCCGTTGTTTTTTTCGTAATCGTATATTATTATACACATATACTATATTACAGTCGCACGCGACGCATAAAATCATTATCGAAAATATTACTACAACAGTAATTACAATAATCGGTCAGGACACGTTTATTGGCCAACATGGCATTACAACATTATTAATATTCAAAAAGAGCTAGTACTGGGGACGGGTGTGAAACTGCTGTAATAAGTTCACTGTTACGTTGTTACACTGTTGTAAACTTCACATGGCTGGCCCACTGTAATCTTTTGTCCCTTATAATTTCCAATATTATAATCTTTCGATATGGCGTTTAAATGAAAGAGCCATAAGAAAATTATTTTGAATTCTTGATAACTTTTGAACTTGACCTTAAGAGTTAAAGTTCCTTATTAGAGAACCATATTCCAGCTGTGAATTAACCAATGAGCAATATAATAATTGTACAAGTTCGTTTTAATAAGCCTAGTTTTTAAATGTTTTTTTTTTTTTTTTTATGGTATTTTAATGGTAATAAAAGATAATTTTGTATCGAAATGAATATCAAAATCATTTACGGTATTTCAACCTCCGTATTTCTAAATATATAAATAATAATCTTTACTTAATCCGTGTTGTTCGTTAGTTAAGATACATTTACATATCGGTGTTATATGATAATTCAAAATTTTTGAAAATATTTTAGGTATCAGAGATTTTTAACATAGATTTGTAGTTGTTTACCTCATTATAATTTCCTTTTTAAATATACGCGTAAAATATGATAGTTTTCAATCACCAGGATGATATACAAAACAAATGATTTATTAAATATGATTTAGTTAACAAGGTTTAAATGATAGCAACATTTTTTTTTTAGGAAAATTGCAGAAATTCTGTTAGGTCTTACTGAAGTATTTAATTTAATATCCCACAGTTCATTAAAAATATTTTTTGATTTATTTCAATCATGCCAAGCGATACTATCATGCTTGAGATGTTTTCATTTAAGCAGACAATTGATTTATTGAAGTATAGACACTAGAAAAATAGTAACTAAATAAATTTACAATGCCAGTTCCGTTTTCACCTTTTTCACCGTTATAATACATTAAAATAGGTAATTCACTGTTATTTTTAGTTTCTTTAAAAAATTTGCAAAAATATTTTGGATTCTTTAGACTGACAATTGTGTTCTTTTTATGTAATTTCTGTAATCTTTATGTCTTCAATATTTGTATTTACTGCACATAGTGACAAATCTATTAGATATAGAAATCGACGTCATTCGATTTTTAGATTCGGAGCATAGCGAGGGATCTGAGATTTCATATAATTCTGAACTTACAATAATATTAATAATATAGTACACTAATAAACAATAATAATTGATAGTAGGTAGGCCACTGTTGAATGTCAGTAAGATGGTTTTAAATTCGGAGCGTAGCTAGGGGGGATCTATTTGTTTTACTATGATGTGTGCTATTTTTAAATATTTTTTTTGTCTGTAAATAATTTTTCGAAAAAAAATCTTACTCCGATATTATAGAATATAGTACCTTTTTTGAAAGGAAATTTTGTCTAGTCGATGCAATAGAACAGTCATTTTTTTGATTTTGAAATAATTAGATAAAAACCAAAAGAAAATTACAGATAAAATGGCAAATATTTATGGGGCGCCGTGGCGTTACCAATTTCATTGTTTTTATTTTTGCAACATGTTTTTTACCAGAAATATTACTCCAAATTAAAAATAACATACGACCAATTTTGTTTATTTTAGTATATAGCCATTGATTCAATAAGTCATTTTTTAATAGTCAAAGTAATTTTCATAATAAATGAGTAAAATAAAAAGACGAAAAACACGATTATTTCAAATTGCGACACAATTTTATTATTTTAAATTTTTACAGTTATATTTTCTATCAAAAAAAAAACGACATGGAACTTTTTTTGTCGAATTTTTAATCTAGATTATGATCAAGAAAATCGTTTTATGATTTTATTTTTAGTTTTTTTTTAATCATGGAACAAAACCGAAAAGTACGTAAAATGCACAGGAAAATTTACAAAAATAATGCTTTTATTATTTTTGTTTTTTTAATGTAATTCAGTTAAAAATATTCGTGGAAACTTGAAATTTTGACAGAAAACTTAAATCTATTTTTTTAGAATTAGTAAAATTTTCAAAACATTTGAGCTATTTATAAACATTTTAATTTTTCGAATTTTTTACGTCATTTTTATTTAATAGACGCTTGGTGGAAAAAATCGTTAGCCTAAACAGAAAACTTTGAAAATTGTACAGTATGATAATTATAAATGCACCTAGTAGTAAAAAAAAAATCGAATGTTATGTAGAATATTTTTTTTTTTATAGAGGTTTAAATTCTAATTTTGATGAAAGTCGTAAATATTACGGCCTTTCAAAACATGCACAACCGAACTTCATTCCCAATCGTTTTTTGTTAGCAATGGTTTATCGTATGTTTATGGTTACAGGTATAATAAATAACTTTATGTGTCCTATCTTCTCAACTCCCCACCACAACAGTGACTGCACCCGTCCTCAGTATTAGTGGTTAGGTTATGTTAAGTTAGATAAATATAGTACATTAAAAATATCCTAACAATTCAAATTAATGCTGAATGCACTTATAAAATGCATTAAAATGTTTTAAAAAAATGACTAAAATCGAAAACTGTACCAGTTCCTATTAGAAAAAATATATGAAACAAATTTGTAAAAATCCGAATAATACACAGCAAACTTTGGAAAAAAATGCAAGGCGCATTCAAATCTCAGCCTTAATTGTATGACTATAATTACGTATAAATTACACACATAACTCAGTTTAATAAATTAATTTTAACAATAAAACATTATTTATGTGTTATAAACATTATAATATTAAGTTTTAAACAGATCTATACATTAGTTAATCCAGTACCGTGCTAATTATTATTGACACCCTAGGACAATCATCATATATATTGCATAAACTTTAATATGCATCTCAAATTTAGCACAACTCTATTACCCCTTTTTAGCCCTTTCCCTTTACGCGCCTATGTGTAGTATCCGTCTCCATTATAAGTTCTATTGTGCATCATATTTTTCTTTTCAATTCGATCGTTATTATTATCCGTGTAGTTTGGCGCAAGAAACAAGGAAGCCCCTTCTGACGGATTTGCGACGAAAATCAGCTCGGCAAAGCATTTCGCACCGGTATTTTTTTTTGCGTAAAACTGGTCTTTGATGAACTCTATAAATTCGTCGACACCGACCGATGGAACCATGGCCACTACGCATCCACCCCAACTGTGACAAATATGAACAGGTATTATTTTATGTTCGTAAAATATTTTGATTTACAATAATTTATTCACTTACCCAGCCCCTGTAAGTTTACAACCGTACGCGTGGCCTCGTTTGCAGACGTCTACCAACTCGTCTAAGTCCGGATGACTGCATTGGTATAGATCACGCAGAGATGAATGACTTTCGTCCATCAGTCGCCCGAGATCTGACGCCGTACCAGGTGTTTCACAAAGGCTACAAAATGTTTCCAACCTTTTTGCTTCTGTAATTATATGTGGACAACATTAATTTGTAAAGGCTTAATAATATTTAAACAATAATTGCATGTATTATTAAACAGATTAGAAAATATAGAACAAAGTCAATGAAATGTAACAAAATAAATCATATTTGTACAAGTTTAACCTTCGAACACATGTAGAGCTCTTTGATGTAAGAAAAATTCGGTCACATCTTTCGTGTTGTAATCCGTTGTAGCTTCCACTGATAGAATTTCACATATCTAAAAATATTATTATTAATTATAGTTATTTATTTTACAAACATACAGAATATTATTGCATACTTCATTCCTGGAATAACTATTGACGTGTAAATGTTGGTGGACCAATTCGATCATTTGATCTAAAGTGTTGCCCGAATTCTCTTGAAGTGTTGCTAATACCGTCAGATTTTTCCATTCAAGATTCAATTGTTTGGCGATTATCTGCGATCCGTAAATAAATCAACAAGATAAATAGTTAAGTACTCAAAACAAAATTATCAAAAGTCATTGATACCTGCGAAGCAAGTCTGCATTCCATTTTTCTCGTGTTGAAATTGTCTGATGCCAAGTTATTTTTGATGGCTAGACTTTGAGCTATGACAAACTTTACATCACTCGGTAAACGGTATTGTTCAAACTCCAACGGATCGAAATTAATACGAGCAGCATAACCTAAAAACGTCAAATTAAACTTGCAATTTAAATGTGCCTACGTTTCACTAGCTACCACACGTCAAAAATGTCAAAATTGTTCTACGCTAATATATTGCATATTATTAGCACGAATTTGCATTACTATCACGTAATGTATACGTGAATGAAAAAGTATTATACATTAAACCATATTTAACTATACAAATGGCAAGTCCGACCCAATAGGCCCAACCTGATTTTTTTCCAACTAGATAGATTTTGCCTACTGGGTTTCGTCTACTGGGGCTTGACTTAGTCAGGTGGCCTACATTGATGTTTACCGATAACTTTTATTCGATACATTTTATCGGATAAAAGAAGCCCGTAACTACTCAAAATACGACAGGATAATTCTCATTTTACTTTATTTAACAAATAAACTTATGTAAGTTAATTCAAATTTTCCCAATTGCATTCACTCAACCTTTTAGGTTCTGAGTAGAGCGTAGAAGCTTATGGTTTTACAAAGATGTTAATTTTTTTTTTTTGTGGACAACTTTACTATCAGAGGACTTACTCCGATATTTACGTGTAGTGACTTTTCTGAAGGGAAATCGGTGTAGGGGAGGGTACCTTAAAAAAGGTAATTTTTCGATTTCCTCAAGAGATTTCTCATCAAATTTAGAAAACCAAAAAAAAAAAAAAAAAAAATTGAAAAATATATGAAATATAAACTAAAATATTACGATTTTTTTTCTTGTGCACAACTTTTCTACCACCAATTCTGTTCCAATGTAGAACATAACTTTATGTCTCACTGGAGTTCTCTAATTACATAAGACTAAAACGTGCGCACGTTGTAGTCAGTGTAGGTACACTTGATTACTCTGCGAAATTTTTTTTCGGATTTTCATTATTACCATAATAATCGTATACAAAGTGATAAACGGTATAATTCTTAAGAGGATAATTCAAATGATTCAACTATTAGTGTACGCTTCGATCAAGAAAAAATTTAGCTAATTGAATGTATTGATAGTACGTTTAAATTAGAATCTAAAACCGAAAATATAAAATATTAGATCTTCGTTTTTTATTTGAATTTTTACAGTTAGAATCCGAAAATCTTTTACCAAAAAAAAAAAAAATAATAAAAAAAAAATAAAAAAATTGGAAAATATACCTAAATGAATTAACCAAATAGTATGTGAAGAATAAATAGTATAGTTGACAAGTTATAATTCTTGTAGAATAGCTATATATAATAATTTGCTCAATACTATTAAATCGTTTGTAGTTATACCATTAATTAGTTGCTCATCTGAGTGTTTCTTCTCTAAGCTGAGTATTATAAATCAAAATTGTGAAGCACGGAGGGAAAAGATTGATCGGGTGGATTCTAACTCTGTTCACCGAATAAGTCAATATTTATAATATAGATTTGTTTCCAAGCCTCATCAAATCAGTTTCCGGGATCTGGGGGTGGAATATTATTATTACGAAGAGAGAATGAATTATAACTCGTAGTAATCATGGATAGGCCTAGATAGTATATAGTGATTTCTAGAGTCAATGAAATTATATTACAAAAATGATTAGGTACTTAGAATACTCGAAATTGCAGTTAAACATTTTTTACTACCTAAGTACGAATAGTTTAAAGGTAACGAAATAATTTACAGATTTTTGATATTAGGCCTATACTGAGAACATGAAAATTTAGGAGGAACTAACCGAGCAAATTCATATTTATTTTATTCCAGCCAAATATTGGCGTAAATAAATGTTGACATTTTCGATGTGTAAAAGGAGAAGAACTGGTGAAATGTACGTGGATTGAACTGCATTTCACTCATTATTACATTCCTAAGGTTTTGACGTTGTCCGTTTACCTTGTCTGGCACACATTGCTATTGCTTGGTTCAATCCACTACTGTTTACCGGATTTGTCTTGATCTGACCGGCGAAGCTTTCACACATCGCCAGGTCTAATGCCAAACCAAGTCTGTAGCAATGAACCTAAACATTATTCATTATCATCATAGTTATCAAATCGCCTATTCGAAACGCCATTTTTCAACGACTTCTAATTTTTTATTACTAATTGTTAATTATAATTTATTTCATTTCCCTTACAGGAATCTATATAGTATATTATTTTTAAAATGTGTATGATAAAAATTCTGTAATTGTTAAACACTACGGCAAAAAATATAATATACTCACATCGTATCCGACTAGGGCTGATAACATGCCGGCGGTAATTAAAGCACTCGAACAACCCAATCCCGAATCCTCCGGAATGCTACTGGAGATCGCGAATAGAAATCCGGTATTTCCCATTTTTCTGAGTTTGCGAATGTTCATCGTAATTTCCCGAGCTCCTTTGACGCCGCACAGAAAATAATTCGCCCAACACTTTTTCCTCGCAAACGTATCTGCACTGCAATATTACATTACGTTAAATACAATGTAATTTTAAATTAATAATAATAATAATGACGTTTGATTTACGTTATGTCTGCTATTTTTACATTAACGTTTTTGTAACGTTCCGAGTTCAAGTTGGTGAGCCAGACCGTTGGGTTGCCTTCTGACCTCCCGATAGCGACTACGATACTTTGTTCAATGGCCATGGGCAATGCAGAATAACCGCTATAGTCAATATGGTCTCCGATCAAGTTCACTTTACCCGGCACTTGGACGTAGTATTCCGGTTGAAACGAATGGAAATGTTCGCAAAAATGTTGTTCTAGTTCTTCAACAGATGGCATGTCAGCCGACCGTGATATTCCCCATGATCCCCAAAACGAATCTAAATATCGAAGCGTTGTAGGCCGTTCTCTTAGTGTTAGGTCTTCTCGATCGAAATAATGCGCTATGTCAGATCGCGCCATCACGTGATCTTTACTAAAAAACGAAAAAAAAAAAAATACAAATACAAATAAACTACCTACCTACATTATTTCATTGCGTACTATTTTATGTCAGCTAATATCATAGAACGGTCGACTGAAATTGAGAATATTATTTATCGTTCTTTAAATGTCTAGATAAGTAATTTCTACGTGGAAAATAAATCGTAGACATTTAATTTTATTGTCGCGCTTAACTTTATCATAATATTGTTATTTTTATGACCAAAAAAATTCGCTGATAATAATAAACGAAATCAGTGAGAATTGATTCGGCAGTCGATGTGCGCTACGTCGGTGCGGAGCGTCGCGTCAATCGCTGCAGGTACGGAGTGGCCGGTCTGGAAACGGGAATTTTCCCGATAACCTGAGCCGTATTACGGCTTGGTGTTGGTGACCCGCCAATTTTATATTACAATACAATGCGGTTTACTTGTATTATTTAAGAGATTAACAAAAATTGTTGTTTTTATCGAGTATTTTGACATGGGCCGTGAAATTATCGTACTCGTTAATACCAATGCGGGTATTGCGGACACGAGCAAGCGTCGGATATAAATAATTACACAAACACTATAATATACGACGCGCTTACATGCAGGACCGATATTTTGTTCGCAGTGCAAAAAAAAAAAATAATATGAACGATGTTCATCGACGGTAACGGGGTTTTCAACATATTTCCGGGGGAGGGGGTCCTGAAAATTAAATTAATGCGTTTCGAGTGTATTATTTCGAACGAGGTCGCGTTTTAAGACGCATTATTGTAATCATATCGGAGTTTGGTGGCCGTGGGAGGGGGGGGAGGGTAGTGGGTTCCGACGTACTCTATCCCTTGGACATCTCGTAAATCCGCTGCCGTTTATCGATTACGCGGACCCGAGACAACGAAAAAACCGGTGACGCGCGCAAATGAAATACCATACGATAATATCATAGGTACAGTATGTAAGCGATAATGCGCACACGCGTAGAACTTTGCCGCGTAACGCAGGTCGACGACTCATCTGCGCTGCACGCCCGGTGATACGCGATGGTGAAATAATCAATAACAACGAAAAGTACACCCGGCGCGGTTATTTTCGTTTTTACGATTCGATTTCGATTATCGTGTAGGGCCGACGACGTTAGTCTCGCCGGGTACACACGAAACTTAATTATTATTATCGTCGAATTGCCGACTCGGTATACTAGAACAGCGGCGTTCCCCCCGTGCGTCCCTGCCCCGATCGCCGGCCACTCGTCGTACAGTCCGTACCGTATTGTTTTATATTGGCGCGTTACAACAGCGGTTAATAAATTATGTTACACGAGTTCGATAGGTACCGTAACGAAACAAATAATTGCGAACGCCCGAAAACGGATAAATCCCGCGCGGATTCGTTTGACCTTTTCGATTATTTTCATACTCACCCGAAGGTCGTCGTCGTCGTCGCCGCCGCCGCCGCCGTGGGAGACCGTTTGCCGCCGCTGGGTAGGGAAAAATCGTTTAGTACGCAACGCCGCCGGCCGCTGTCGTCGTCGTGCCTGCGTCACTGCAGCTCGTCGACTGCCGAGACTGGGCGACGACGCGACCGCGGCGGCGTATTCATTCCTTTTTGGATTCTGTGCAGCGAGAATCGGAACGTATTGATTTAACTACGATGAGCATTATATTTTAGATTTGAAGCGTAGTTGAGAACGTTTTGGTTTTACTGTACGGGGTGTGCTTTTTTTACTTTTTCTGTCTGCGAACGGCTTTTTATTTTTATTTTTTTTTTTTTTACAAAAACCATACTGCACCGTTCAAAAAACGGCAACAGACCTTTTTTTTTTCTTTTAATTATTATTTTCTTAATAATGACGAACAAACTAAGGCGATACCGGTTTCGTTAATCCTCGGTCTTGTTTTAGGTTCTGAGCGGAGCGAGGAATGTATTGGTTTTACAATGACGTTTATTTCTTATTCTTTTTTCCGTGAACAATTTTTCTACCAGCAATTTCGCTCCGATTTTCAATAATAGCTTTCAATGAAATCGGATTGAGAAGATCATTTAAATAGGTCATTTTTTTTGAGTTTTTCCCAAGAGTTTTCCCAATAAATGGGAAACACCGGGACAAGTGTATGAAAAAAAGGAAAATAGGTACAATATTAAACGAATATTATTAAAGAAAACCTATTATAATGCATATGTTATTATTTTACCATAACATGACATTTATACTGTTGACGAAGCAACACTATCAACCGAACTACACTCAGAATCGTTTGTTGGCAATGGTTAATCGTTGCTTACAGATGTTCATTAAATTACCTATAACAGTGGCTGCACTAGTCCCTATAATCCTAGGACAGCTTTTTTTTTTGTTGTTTTTGTATATACTTAGATTTAAAAAAATAATGATAGAGACCTGCAATTTTAACAGAATATTTATACTAGTTTTTTCTCAGCGAAACGAGGGTGGGTCAAATTGAAGGGAGATGAGGAGATATATATGTCCCCTCATCCCTCCATTATTAATTTTTTATATTATTATAATTTTATTTTGTATTATATTTATTATATTTATATAATATTTTAAGCATTAGATCTCCCCATTTTTATGGTTAAGTTACAATACGTCAAATTTTTCAAAAATATAATTTACATTAAAAAACATGTAGATACTCATTTGAAAAACCAACGTTGTTATTGCTACAGGATATTCATTCAATTTTGTGAAAAATCTAAGTATGCAAAAATATCACCTTTCATTACACTTAAAAATTCTATTGAACAGAATTTTAATTTACGCCTTATTTAACCATAAAAATGGAGTGCTTAAAAAATCACCCTGTATAATACATTATATCTTTATAGTGAGTAAGAACGTCGTATTTTCATTTTTCTGGTACTTTTTGTTATAATTGAAAAAATCGGGAAATGACAAAAAATAAAACAAATTAATTACGGTTTTTTTAATGTAATTCAGTTAAAAATATTTGTAGACTTGAAATTTGTACAGACAACTTATATTTGCTTTTTTTAGTCGTGGTAGAATTTTTGAAACATTTGAGCTATTTATAAACGTTTTAACTTTGTGAGTTTTTAAGTCATTTTTATTTGGTAAGTGTTTTGTGGATAAAATTGTTAGACTAAACATAAAAACTTGAAAACTGTACATTATATTCATTATAAGTCACACTTAAGAGACACAAATGTAAAAATTAAATTATAGATTTGGGTTAATATTAAAAAATATTAATTATTTAACGAGAAAATCTGAAAATCTGAAAATAATTAAACATTTACTGACGTCAAAAGAAGTTTTTCTTAGTAAAATAACATATTGGAATATATCGAATGTTTACTGATTGTCAGAAATATTGAATATTAATATTAATTGACATATTGAATGTAGGAAAAATCTTAGAAAAAAAACTAAAAACAAAACATTTGTTGTACAATGCAACGATAATTTATCATCGTATGAGGAAAAGCAGTTTAAAAAATGCGTTTATAATTTCATATTAAGTATATTTGTTTTTGTTATCGGCACAATACCTACCAGATAATGTAAAAATTGAATTGAAAGTTAAAATAATGTGCAATTAAATTAATACATTTTCATTATAAATAGTTGTAATAATAATATATAATACGCAGTAAATATTTGATTTTCGTATAAAAAAAAAAAAAAAACTCGAGCGCGCGAAATTCCGTGAAATGCGTATGCTTTGATGACACGTGCATATTAAACAGGTAAGTAATTAATTATCATAATATATTATAAATGATCGACGATCGGCTTCGATATGTACCTATGTAATGTGCAAACGGGATCCCAAAAGACATAGTGAGACTATTGAGAGAAAACCTGGAAATTTTATTCCCGAGCGCAATGTAATGCAACGTAATAATGTTATTCTAAAGCCATTAGTTTTCGAATTTTAATAGATAGCTATAGGCATATAGTATACTTCCAAAATAGTGTAATAAAGTGAATAATGGGGTGAAGAGCAACTGAATGTATACTCACTAACCACTTAGATTACTTATTACAGCCTACGACGGTAGGAAACAATTAATATGAAATATTAACTATGAAGGGTAACAATAATATACTTACCTATCCTGAACGGAGTATCCTCAGCAACAATGTTGATTTTGAATACAGGTATAATTATATGTATCTATTACGTTGATGAGAATAGGTAGCAGGAATGAGAAGATAAACATTTGATTTAGTAAAAAATGATGATGTCGGAATGTTAGAAGCCGGACCAAAACGCACTCGCGGGAAGACGAAAAAGATGACCAGTCGCCAAGGCAGGATCCGGTGGCCGAATGAGACGAGGAGTCTTTATGAGAAATAAAGGGGAAAAGAGTAGAGTGCTGTAGCCCGGTTCTCATTATCATGTCTTATTATTATGTTGAAACATTTAACTGTTGTGCATACTATTTTGTATTAATCTAAATCGACTTATAAACTGATAAAATAAAGTGGTATCCACTATAATAAAATGTAGTATAGATAATATTAATGTTACATAATATTATATTATGATATAACTTGTTGACCAATATTAAAATTGTGATGTATACTATATTGTATATATCATTACACTAGTCGAGATGTTTATCCAGTAATATCTAAACTTCTTTGAATATTCATAACACTTCCAGTGTATACTGCCACGGGAGAACGATCATTTTCAACACTCTGTCGTTTGAAAACATATTCGAAAAATTCTTCGGGACAAATACGTTTTGAATAGTTTAGCAATACTAAAATATATTCATCGCGATATCAACGTGGATATCAATGATGTTATAGACGAACTTGTTAAAACATCAGGCTCCTATACAGATACAGATAAACTTGTCTTCTACAATAATGATAAGAGGTTTTTTTACTCTAAAATTGCTTAGAAAACCATATTGTCGGAAATATGAAAACCAATTTTCGTTGTATTTTTTTCATACTACCTTGATAACCCTTAACCATGGATATATAATTTAAGGTATAGACGGTATAGTATATCTTAAATCGTGGTTTTTACTAATAATAAAAAGTGTGTTACAATAAAGTTAATAATGTATTACTTTAGTCATGACTAAAGTAATATATTTGTAATAAATAATAATAAGAAATATGTATAATGTTGTTAATATCTAATACCTATATTTTAGAATATAATAAAAAGCAACCGATACAACTATAATTATGTTCTAAATTACTTTAAATAAAAATCTACTACGTGTATTTGACATTTGTACCATAGGTACCTATTTAGTCAGTATTATTTTAAATTCTAATTAGATTTTAACAATTAGATCAAAAATGTTATTAAAATTGAGAAAGTATTGACGAAGTAAGATAGGTACTTAAATTAAAATCAGAATTGTTCTATATTATATTTATAAATAATAATACTACGTTATAGTAGTTATTCAAATATGGAATTGTATGGTGGTGGTACGTCTTCATCAACAGCATTTTCATAAGGTGGTTAAGGCAATACGTCTTCATCGACAACATTATCATTATGTGGTGGAGAAATTGATCTTTGCATTTTAGTATGCTGTCTGGTTGAATTAATTCGAGAAATACAAGCGATTGGATCTACACGTGGGATCGATTCAGCAAAAGTTTGTCTCAAAAACTTCAGATAGTTGTAGCATCTCCAAATGACAATAACGAAATATCCCTGGAATAAATAAATAATGTTAAATAAATACATAGTTATGTATTAGATGAAAATATTTGTACCATTAAATTAAAATAAAATTGTATAGTATTTAACCATATGATTAATCTTGTTTAATTGCCTAGAAAGAATATTAAGGGTTATTGTGTTACTGTGTATAGAGTGATTTCCTAAGCGTGCTCTCCCCATTATTTTGGTTAATTTTTTCGTTTGTTTTAATTCTAATTTTTGGAATTTTTAAGTGTAGTTAAAACCGATATTTTCGAATACTTAGATTTTTCACAACATTTAAGTAGTTTCCTGTGGTGATACCACAGGAACCTAACCAACTTTGATTTTTAAAATGAGAACCTAGGTATATAAAAATTTCCATAAATAGATGGAGTATTAATTTATAAAAATCAATTTTGGTGTTTTCAACTTTTTGATTTCCGTCAACCCGTTGACGAGATATTTCATTTTTAAGTTTAAGTAGTGATAGAGTAGTGGAGTATTATTTGTATGGCGGCATGGCGTGTGGCGTTTTATTAGTACTCTACTACTCTCCCCCTACCTTACCGAAATCACTCTGGATAGTAAGTAACTTATAAAAATTATTGATGTACTATCTTAATGATTAATTTTTAAGTAGATAATGTTCGTTATTTTATTAATTTTAGCAGTAATAAATTAGGTAATAATTTTAAAATCAATATTAATTGAATTTATGTTTATAACTTCTTCAGGCAAAGCTATAAATCCTGGCAGAACAGCTAAGGCTGGTCATGGACCGAGGTAAAGTAGAAGCGAGCGGCAAGCAGTGGGGTTGTCTACAAAAGAGTTTAATATCGTTCGGAATGAAACCGCTTCTCAATAATATTATATAGTTGAGATTATTTTAAACTATTGCCTAATACATTTTTGAAATAGAAATTCGAATTTTTTTGTGTTAAGTGGATACACCATTTTGTATTTTAATTTATCAGAGATTTTAAATACTTATTATAAATTTATAAAGTTAAAATTATTTTGGGCACATATGTGAAATAACCAAAATTAAAATAATTTGTGAATATTAATATTCAAACCTTCCAAATAATTGGACATAAAAATTGATAAAACGAAACATCAATGTATGGCAGTTGATGTTGTAATTTCCAAATTGACACACTAAAAAATAAAATATCATTTATGAATATTATAATTATTTTATTAAATCAGTTTTTTACTTACACATCCAATATCATCTCAGTTAATTGAGAAGAAATTAATGGTAATAACATCGTTGGATTTGTAAAATGAATACCACAGTGCATAGAAATTGTGATAAGTAATGTGCAAAGTAATAAAATTACTGGAATTTTTAAATCATCTAAAAAATACATAATATAGTAATTATTATTAAAAATTTAAGTTGTTGATTTATGCATGGTATAAGGAGAGAAAAATCTGAATTAGTGATTATTGTATTAAAATAAACATAAGAGGAAAGAGGGGGATAACGACCGAAAAAAAATGGTTTGATGCGATTAATAATGATATAAGGACAGCCGGTGTATGTGAGGTGGGAGATTGGGTTAAGTGGAAGTTTAGGACAAGAGTGACTAGCCCCAAATATTTTGAATAAACTTAAAAGAGAAGAATTGATTTGGCACAGTTATTAAAACATTCTGTTATTTTTAATGTAATTTATAGCCATTTGATATTTTTGATATTTTTGAGATTTTATTCTCTTTATTCGATTTTATGTGGAAAAAATTTTTTTAAAAAGTGTATGAAAATCAAGTTGTAGTTAATGGTAAATGAATTGGGTTTTTTTTTGTAAAACTCGCTTTTTTTTTTTTGTCTTTAAAGTTCAAATTTTGATGAAAATCGAAAAAATCAAGAAATTTTACATAGGTCCCTAAAATGTTTTCCAATGTGTGTGGATAAAACTTTTGATTCCAAAACATTTGAAATGAATTACACGGATAATAATAATTTAATTTTCGGTTCTGAGCAAAGTAAGGAATGTATTAGTTTTACTATGATGTATGTTTTTTTCTGTTTGAAACACTTTTCTTACAGAAATCATGGTCCAACCAAAATATAACAAGCGACTTCTTTTGCTAACTTTGAATCTGGTAGGTGCATTTGAGAGATCATTTGTTTGATTAATCAGTGGTTTTCATAATAATTAGGAATTAAATGTAAAAAAAAAAAAAAACTTATTAATTAATTGTATTACTTTAATTTTTTCGATTTCGTTTTTTTACCAAAAATCTTGCACCAAAATGTAAATGCAACTTTTTTTTTAAAGAAAATTTTGTTAAGGTGGTTTTTAAGAAAGTCGTTTTTTAGTTTTCCATGTAGTCTTAATAATAATCAGGCGAAATATTATTAGGTCCATTATTATTTATTAGGTTCATAATTGTTTTTTGATTACAAGATTGTAATGATTTATCAGCGCTTTCAATATATAAACTAAATTAGTCTATATATCCTTTCTAAATTCTTTAAACGCAATTGATGTGTTTACACTACAACACTTAGTGTACACTGTACATACACACGGTGTAGGCGGTACGTCTTTTGTCCACGCTATACTCAGGTAGCTGCGTTTTATACTTCTAAATTCTTAAATTTGTATTATTATTAGGTACTTACAACTTTAATAAAGTTACAATTATTTTAAATACGTGTAATGACAAAAATTTAAAATAAAATAATGTGTTAAAATTACTATACGAACCTGTAGGATTATCAGGAAAAATATATAGAAAATCCCAACATGAAAACATGCTCAAAAATGCAAAATACTTTTTGTCAGTTAGAAAATATAATTTGTTTTCAAGTTTTAAATTTTGCAAAATATTGTCCTTTTTAAATATGAAAAACATTGATTTTATGATCTGTAAAACAGTTAAATTTAAATAGTAATTATTAACACACATATATATTTATATATATATTAATAACTACAATAATAATATTCTATATAATATGATTATTTGTATTTATACCAAATTGAATAATCCAAAAACCATTGTGGCATTTATGACATGCACACCAAAAATACAACGCCACGGACGAATCGATCTAGGTGAACTAGGAGGTCGTTGAGTTCGTATCTAAAAATATATTTCTAATTCATTAGTGATCCGAAATAATTAACCAATCACAATTTATAACATTGATATGATTATAATATGTTATTAATGTATCCGTCTACTATAATAGCAGCCTAACCTGCACACTGTTGTCCATGAACACTAAAATTAATCTTATCTTCTTCTGCTTTGCCTTCATCCCAACTTTTGGGATCGGCCACCCTCATTCTAAACTTCTACTTTACCCAATCTCCCACATCGCATACACCGACTATCTTCATATTCTGATTCTCAATCGAATCCAACCACCTTTTTTTGATCTTCCTCTCTACCCGTATTCCACCTATGTTTATTTTCATTACAATTCTTACTGCTTTTGATTCTTCTCTCTCCGTAACCATCTCATACTATTTTCCCAAATTTTGTCTACTATCGTACACACTCCTAGCTACTTCTTATGTATTCATAAGAGTTTTTTTCATCCGTTTTTCTGTCTACCACTCAAGCCATATAACATTATTAATCTTTGTAATTAAACAATTGCGTGACAAATCTAACTATTTTACTGTTCAAATCTGATCATTGACTGCTAATTGCTAGCGCTCATATTTTACATAAACGCCACTGCGACAGCGATTACACTCCAAACGCCAATCTGTATAGACAATCGTGGTTCGTATTAATGCTCGTTTAACGTTTACTTCACTTTTGTTTTAGATTCGGAGCATAGTAAATTTTTAATTTTTGCAAATATTATATTGTACACATTTTAAAATCAATCGTACAAATTCATACAAATTGAGTATTAAAATAGAGTGTAAATCAAATCCATGTATACATAATTTTGAACCGTGGGCGGAGCTGGAATCGTATCACTCCGACCCCACCCACTGTTTATCGCAATGACACGAAAACAAAACTCATAAAAATGTAGAAAATCGTCATACAAAATCATACAAATTACATACTCATTATGTGTGTAGACAATTTTTAAAAAATTTAATAGGGCGTGGCTAGGATTATGTTCATTACTCCCTTCCCGTTTCGATGTCGGTGTCCGGAATATCGTGATAAAATAACGATATGGTTTATTGACATTAATAAAATATTATTGAACATTTTATTAAGTTAGGTATGATCTGGAATTCCAAATCGCCCGAGATTGGAAGGGAAAAATGGACGTCATAATGAAAGCGTTATACTACGACGGGGTTTATTATTCAGAAATAACGATTCGACTTACCATTTTGCGTCTGTTGATCGGATTTACAGGCTATTTTCAGCGATGATGAAAACTATATTTTCAATATTTATAAAGTCGAATACGGCGAATATGCAAATACTCAACACGACGACGTAGAGCACTGCTGGTGACTGTTTTTCATGCAAATTTGTCTAAGCAGTCTCTGCGACAGCCATGGCGATCCACAAAAGTCCACAATAAAATTTTAGTCCGTCGAAATTGACACTTAATTAAAATAAATTCGTTGTGCGTGGACGCTCGCATTCGCGCACACACATTTACATACTATACTATGGAAACGTACGTTCTTTGTATTAGTTGACTGAACTAAAAAGGAGATCGATCCATTTTTTTTTCAGTGTTACCATTCCCTACAAGTTATAATATATAAGTTAGTTATATTCGCGATTGAAAAGAACTATAGGTAGCGCTCTAGTTTACTTTAATGATAAGGCTAACAGGAAGATTTGCACTATGATAGCATTAGAATAATAGTAATTTAGCCAAAATAATCCATTTATTAATAGTTTTTTTTTTTTTTAATTTTTTTATTTAAACTTATTTTGTTTACAATTTGTAGTAATAAAAGTACATAATGTTACATAATTCTGTAATAGATATCACCCTTATAAAACTTCCAAAAATATTTTATATCAAGTGCCTTAGGCGTTATTAGTTTAAGTAATTCGTTAACTATAAGTAGATTATATACATATAATTAGGGTTCCGATTTTTATACACTTAAAATAACTGTAATGTGTATGTATCTATGCATTAAAAAATTACCAAATATGCACTAAAAATCATAAAATATTTATTTTTAGTTTAAAAAACACTAAAATATACACACAAAAATGCATTTTACCTTAAATATTTAATTTGTATTAATTAATTTTTAGTGTTTATTTGTTTAAATATTAAATATTAATTTACAATAAAAGTGTTATAGTGTAAGATAATGGTTCTTTTAATTTGTTTAAATCATATTCTTTTTTACTTTATATTACATTATTAATTTAAATTGTTTTTAAATAAGTCTGAACAGGAAGTAAAATACAATATTTAATTGGATAAGCAGAACAAAATATGCAATTTCATAAGCATCCGAACCCTAATAATAATTGGACATAAAGTGAACATGCAAGTTAAATATATATTTGGATAACAAATTATTTTGAATTAATAATTTTATGAGGTAGAACATAAAATATTAAATATCGATTGCTACGATGTATTTTGTGGTGTTTTGATAGCTATTCAATGTCTACATAGACACAGTGCTAATGCAATAGGGTATTAATAGTTATTAAAATGTCCTTATATGTTGGAGTGCCGATAAATTAATATTATTAAATTTATATATGTCTAATAATGTAGAGTAGCGTCAAACCCTCTCCCTAAGTTTGGCAAGTAAGAGCTACCTATATTATGGTGTAAAAAAATGTAGCTGCTTAAACAAACAAAGAAAAGACAATTAATTTTTAGAAACTTCATCATTTCAATTTCATTTTGTTATATTTATTTATGTATATTTGTGAAATTAAATTAAATAAAGATATTATTATTTATTCATAATAAAGTACCAAACAGTATATTTTAATTTTAGTGACAAAATTTGATTAAAAAACAAGTGTATATCCATACGTTTATTTGTGAACACAAGACTGTGGACAAATTTTATAATCTCCATAGTGAATTTTTTGTGCCACTGATTATGTATGCAATAAATTTAATATTTTGTTATTATCAGGGCTCAAATTATATAGAATTTGCTAGATATTATAGAATACAGATAAAAATAGTAAAGTGAGCAGCATACATGTATGACTTCTTATTAGTGTATATTTATATATTTAAAAATATAAAAAATAAAAGGTAAATATATTTAATTTTTTGTTATTTTTCATTGTTTTTATGGCATATATATTATAGCGCTTAATTTATGTTTCATTAGGTCATATTATAGCGCATATTTCAGTTATTTTCAGTGCTATAAAATCTGAGCCCTGGTTATTATGTTAAATATTTTATTATTTGTGGGTTCAGATTTATTTTATAAATAAATTCTGAAAAAAAAAAAATTCAAATTACACATAAAAATACAATACAATACAATAGATACGCAAAGTGGAAAGATCTAAAACGATATTTAATTCATTCTCAATCTTTTTATATTTAGATTAATTTATAATTTCCATTTTATATCTTTATCAAAGTAAATACCTAGACACTTAACATTATTCACACGAGTTAATCTAAAACAATTAAAATCACAACTCCTATTTTTTAAGTAAGCAGATGAGTGATATAAATATAATCCTAGATATTTAATGTTCTTTACTTTTTCTAAACAAAAACAATTTGAGCTACAGTTTTTACTATTACTAGTTAATGAATGCACATATAATTAATAATTAGTAATATTAAATCTATTATTTTGTATTTTGAAACACATATATTTATATATAGAAAATAAACATAGTATATAAATATATAAATACAAATGTATACATAAAAATAAAAATAAATAAATGAATTAATGCATCACCTGAAGTATACTGATAAGTATATTATATGACCAGTTTCAAATTAAAAATTCATCATCAGGTATATCACAGTAAAAATCTAAAATGCGGCTGAATATAACAAATTAAATGAAGGAATACATGGAAGAAGAAACAAATTATACAAATTGATCGTTTTACATAGAATATAGAAAAAATGTATTTTAATAGAAGAAATTATTTAAAACTAATTAATATTAGACATAGATATGTTAAAAAATATAAATTATTTAGTCATTATCAAATTTATTATCGAATGTATTGACATAAGATATTATTTTTTAAAATCGGTTTGAATATTTAAAATATTATTAAAATTATTTTTCTTTATTTCATTGCCTATGTGTAATTCTTTTAAAACTGAATAATATAAATTGTATTTTTGATATTTAATATTTCTAAGTCTGTATTAATATCAAAACTTATATTATGGTTATTATCTAAAACATATTTAGGGAAATTTAAAAATACTGCCAGTCTTTTTAAATTTTATTTAAAAAATGTGTTTTTTATATCTTATTTTAAAATTTCTATTTATCTTACCTATATAAAATTTATAACAGTTAAATTTAAGTTTATATATACCAGCATTTTCAAAAGAAGGGGATTTTTGTGAGGTTTTTAGTTCTATGGTTTGTATGTTTGATTAAATTATTATTAGTCTTAAAAAGAATTTTTACATTATTTGTATTATTGTTCAGAATTTTGTGACACATATTATTTTGATATTTCATACTACAACAGTTAATAACATTATTTGGAACACATTTCAAAAATAAAATTAAAAAAGACTGCCCCTAATACAAATTTTGATAACATTTTTTAGATAATAACCATAATATAAGTTTTTATACTAATATATACTTAGAAATAATAAATATAAAAAATAACATATCAATTCAATTTTAAAAGAATTACACATACACAATGAAATAAAGAAAAACGATTTTAATAATATTTTAAATGTTCATAACTAATTTAAATAATCTCATTTATTAAAATACATTTTTTCTATATTATATGTAAAATGATCAAATTGTATAATATTTTTTAGTAATTTTCAATTCAAAACCGTTTGAATAATACATTTATCATAATACTTCAGGTGATGCATTGATTCATTTATTTATTTTCATTTTTATACATCCATTTTTTATTTATATATTTATTTACTATATTTGTTTACTTTATTATTTTATTATAAACATTTAGTTTTATTCAAATTTAACTACAATAAATTATTGTCAAACAATAATTTAACATTATTTATCAAAAAATTTGCTGTAGAATATAATTTACTATATGATTTATTAGAAATTAACAAGGTTGTATCATCTGCAAAACATTATATCAACTTTGCATTTATATCTAGAGGTCTTAGTACTGTACTTTGTGGTACACAATGGATAATGTTTAAATGATTACTAAAGATATTGTCTTTTTTAATTCTTTGGGCTCTATTTGATAGGTAGAAGCGAATTAGCTTACTAGAAATGCAACAAATTCCTGCATTTTCAAGTTTATTTATTAATAATATATGATTTATTGTGTCAAATGAATTTGTTTACATCCAGAAATATTCTTAGGACTTATTTTTATCCTATCTTTCATGAATAAAATCATTTACTATAAAATGTTCATCCCTAGTAGACATACTGCAAGTATAACGAAATTGGTTAAGAGAAAAGAAATTATATTTTCCAAAAAACTAACTATGATATCCTTATAACATTTTTCCAAAACTCTATGAAGTGATAAAGATAATGAAATAGGATGATAATATTGTTACATACAATTTTTTCTCCATTTTTAAAAATCGGAATAACACCACAATTTTTAAATAATTCAGGATATACGCCAGATTCCAAGAATAAATTCAAAATTAACATTAACAGAAAAGAAAGAGTATTTGAGATATTTTTAGAATAAGATTTTGCAGGCCATTTTCAAAATATGATCTGTTCAATTTCAATTTTATAATATGCTTTCTAATTTCAAATTACCAACCTGACATGTTTCAATAAGCCGGGTTACACGTAAATATTTGTTCGACATTGTCAATCGACGTTGTTGACACCATTCAGCATAGTGTGTATGCGGCTTAATAGACTACCTATTTAAAATATTTCTATACTTAATGTACTTATTTTTTAAAACAGTATTAAATGGTTGTTTATTATTTTTATTGAAAGCTTTTCCCTAAATCTAATTGAAGTTATTAAACCTCTAGTGATCCAGGGTTTTAATTTTTTAAGCTTGCTTCTTCCGTTTAAGTTATTGTAAACTGTTGAATTTAAATTATTTATTTAATAATTCTATAGTTTCAAGTAATTTATCTAAAGCAATATTCAGATCAAGCTGGAAAATTCAGACTCCCAGTTTATAGTACTGATTGAGTGGATTAAGTTGTTAAAGTTTATAAGCCCAAAATCCAGGTTATAATCATAATTTATATTAATAGAATGGCAATTATTTAAATAATTCACTATCACTACCAATTATACAAAAAATAGTCCCAAAATAGTAATACTACATTTTAAAATATAAGCACAAATATTATTTTTATTGACATTATTAACATAAAAATAGTCAATACAAGAATAGTTTGATAAAAATTAAAGGTGGCTAATACATTGGAGTAATTTGTCATCACAAATAAAAGTAGTATTTTTCATTTTATTAATACATAAATATAATAGGTATATTCTTGTAAAAGTATAATTCTACAGGTAATTATTTTACATAAATTATTTATTAATAGGGTCATACTATTAGCCTTATTAGTAGTAGTTTAATAATGAAATACTTTATATCCATTTATTATTAACTTGAAATCCACATCAAGCCAATTAAGCCAATTTCAAAGTGTATAATGATATAAAAATCATCTTCTATGGAACTTAATAGAAGTAATAAATCATGTAGGTATATTTTTCTTAATATTAGGGATATTCAATAAAAATTATTATATTATGTTGATAAATTATTAGTTATGTAATTATCAGGGTCGGAAACTTGGAACGTATACAGTAAAGTATACAATACATATGCATAAAACTATATTTTTTTTTTTTTTTTGACTGTAACTGAATTGATATTACCGGGTAAAATAATTGTCAATTGAATTTAATCATCATTTTATATATCTTATATTTATTACCCGAGATATATGTGATAATTTGTTATTAATTACTAAGTTCGTCTTTATTCTTTATTAATAACTACATGTATATTCATAATAATTAATAAAAAAAAAAAAGACGTCCTAGATAATGGGGACGGGTGCAGCCACTGTTATAAATAATTTAATGTATACCTGGAAGCAACGATAAATCATTGCTTACGAAAAAAAGATTCTGAGCAGAATTTAGTTGATAGTGGTGCTTTGTTAACAATATTTATGTCATTTTATAGTAAAATAATTAAATAGACTTTTTATATTTTTTAAATATTTTTTTTTTTAATAATATTTGTTTAATGCTGTACCGGTTTTCAAAATTTTCCAACGTTTTTCCTGATTTTTCACATGTTTTTTATCCCGGTTTTTCACATTTTCTGGGAAAACTTGAAAATACCGAAAAACGACTTTTCTAAAGTACATAGTGAAATTTTTTTTTAGAAACATTGCTATCATTAAAAGTTAGAACAAAATTGCTGGTTGTGCACAGAAAAAAAGAAGGCCGTAATATACTTTAACTAATACCTACATTTCTTATATTTTCCCGTTTTTTTTAGACTTTTTAAATTTGACAAGAAAACTCCAGAGAAAATTGAAAAATTACCCCTTTAAAGTACCTCCCCACGCCAATTTCCTTTCAAAAAAGGTTCTACAATTAGAAATCTGAGCGAATATTTTGGTAAAAAAGTTGCGCAAAGATAAAAAACAAATACACAAATAAACATCTTTGTAAAACTATTGTTTATAAGTTCTTTCGCTCCACTCTTACGAAAACAACATCTTTACGAGCCATAATAATGTGATATAAATTTGGATTATATGAAAATCTGAAAATCTGGATATCAAAATAAAATATCAAAATTTCCGAAAACTAATTTTAGAATTTAAAATGTGTAAATATTAATGTGTTAAATTTGTAAATTTTAATGTTTTAATTTTAATTTTTAATGTATTAATTTCTAATTTTAAAATTAAAATTGTATTTAATATAAAATGTATAGGTATTCAAAAAAAAAAGAAAAGAAAACCCATATTTAATATGTTAATACGTATTTGATAATTTCATTTAGTTTGATAATAATAGATTATTATTAAATAACGCATACTAAATTTATATTATATTATATTTTTATCCTATTGTTTTTACACTGAATAAATGTATAATCACGAATAGCCCTATTAATTCAAATTCATTTGAATTGAATTAGCAATACTTAAAATAACCATATTTAAAGTTTAAAAATCTAAAATTCAGATTTTAAATTTATTTTTGATTTTTCTACCATTAATGGATCAACGCGTATCTCTAGGGAGTCCAAACCCTTAATGAAGTCGCATTAGATATTAATCTAAGTATGGTTAGGTTCTTTCTAAACGGAAAGCCATAAATAATGACAGACGCTACCTGAAGTCTCATTACTTTTTTTCGGACACCTCGTATATTTTGAATTATCATAATATTATCTCATTAATGACAATACTAAATAATACAGTGCCGGAAATAAATTATGATATTACAAAACAATTATTATTCTGTACAAGAGGAACGTATAGTAGTACAATATACACGTCATGGTTCACGCCAAAGTCGTTCGTATAAGAGCGGTATAGGTTCATGTATAATGTTTTATAATATTGTGTATATTTAATGGCATAATAAGTTAGGTAGGTATATGATTAATCAATAGTAAGCCGTCTCGCGTATATCATCACTCGAACGGTGTTTTGGAAAATATGAATTCGGCGCTGCAGCCTGCAGCCGACTACACAAAACTCATCAATCCACCAGCAGGTCCGTGATCTCCATGGTAGACAAAATTCTGTTTCCGTGCTGGACAAGCAAATCTGTGGCCGCGTCTTCAGCGATCGGCGTTATCAGGTCGAGTACCAGACGCTTGTTCGTGTTGAAAAACTCTGACGCTGTTTGCGCTGCGGAAAATCAATCAAATATATTTATAATACAGTTCGTTTTTTTTTTTTTTTAGATTCTGAGTTGTGTTAAGATTGTGTAGGTATCATAGTTTTACAAGGATACGTGTTATTAAATTACTAAATTCCCGACATATTTTCTGTATGATTTAAAACTGACAGCAAATATCGTTACATCGGTATCTTTATTGATTTCAAGATTCACCTAAAAGTTAGAAGGGGAAAAACATGCCCAATACTACTAAAAAATACTACTACATTCAGTAACGGTTTTTGATTGAAACGGTGTTGCTTTTATAGTATATTAATTAAATTACTCTATATCCTCTACATTTCAAACGTCCCATTGACTACAGTGTTCTAATTTGTTTTTCATTATTGTAACCTACATCGCAAAACGTATACAAAATTAATATTGAAATAATTTTATTTCGAGTATACCACGACAGAAATAATCAAAACGATTTTGTGCATCTGGAAATTTTAAGACTATAATATTTATTAATTAAAATAGAACGTCTTAATGAGCGAGTCTCATTGATAAAATCAATTTATTGATCAACTATTGATATACTTGAGTAATAATACTAAAAAGAAAAAAATATGATAATTTTTTTTCCCATCCCGGGTTCCGTATTATTGATGAGAAAAACACGATGGCAAATAAACCACTGCAAACTTAAACAAAATGTGTACTCAACTTAAATATTTTAAAATAAATGTATCCATTAGAGATAAATTGTTTTTGCATTTTGAAACTATATTTATCTTTTTTATATTCTAGGAATATTTTCTATTTTTCGATTTATTTAAATATTTTTGCCTATTTGTTTTCATTAGTCGGCAAATTGTATTGCAAACAAAAAATGTATTTGAAATCGAATTTTTAAACCTATTTTGCATTTTTATATTTTTTTTTTTTAAATAAACTTAATCCAAACTAGGTCATAAATATGTTTTGTATAAATTAGTTTCTTTCCTCCCTCTGTTAAAGAGTTAACAGTTTATTATTATCGACAGTGGTTGTATAAAATAATCGAACTAAAATATATTTGAATCGTTTTTTTTTTTTTGTATTCGAATACTTTTGTACTGTCGAAAAAAAATATCCGAATACGTATTCTGAATGCGTGTTCACTTGTTTATTCAAATACACAACGAAACTTCTGAATACGAAATAAAACTATTCTTTACACAAGACCGAATTCATTGAACTTCAGCACAAACGATATTCTATTAAATATAATGTGAGTATAATACTAGTCAATTAATATGAGTAAATATTTAACGTATTGCGAGCGAAAAATCGCGAAGACAATAATAATTATATCATTAAAAATTAATACCGCCGTAATATTTTCGTAGAAAATCCATTGCTGAATAAATTATTATTTTAAGTAGTTTTCTACGTTCATTTCGTATTCATAATTCGCGTCACAAAAACAATCGTAACCACTAAACGTTTTAATATTATTTTATCGACTGGATGTTGAGTATACGAATACACTAAACGAAAATAATATTTAAAAGTAAATAACAGAGTTCGACGTTCGCATATTGACGAAGTGATTACGGGATGCGTCAACGGACAAATTCCACAACCTGGAAAATTTTTAGTAGGCATCATAGTTTGAGTTTATCTGTGGATTATGTACTCGAACCATGACGCGAATTTAGGCTAACGGCCACGATAAACGATACTAATATTAAAACAACCATTTACCTATTGTCGGGTTCTGCGTATTGGTTATGTGAACGTCCACGTCTTCAAAATATAAATTCATTTTGATGTTTTTCAACTTCAGTTTGTTATCTTTCACTTCAGTGTTGGCGTGAAAACGAACGACGCTGTGGCCTGAATATTTAATATAAAAGCACACAATTAAAAAACTGTTCTAGGATATGGGATAACGGGGACGGGTGTAGCCACTGTTGTAAGTGATAAAATTGGAAGGTAGGATACAAAAGGAAATTCAATGTATATCTGTAAGCAACGATAAAACATTGGTAACGAAAAAACGATTCTGAACGGAGTTCAGTTGATAGTGTTGCTTTGTCAACAATAGATATATATATGGTAAAATAATTAAATAGACATTATATACTTTCTTAAATAATATTTGTTTGATATTGATCCAATTTTCCCGTTTTTCCTACGGTTTTTTTCGGGTTTCCCGATTTTTCCCATTTGTTAAGAAAACTCTCGGGGAAATCGAAAAATAACCAATTTAAAGTACCTCCCTGGTCAGATTTCCTTTTAAAAAAAAGTGCTATTATTGTAAATCGGAGCAAAATTTCTGGTGGAAAAGTTACGCACAGATAAAAAAAAAAAAATTAACACTTTTATACAACCATAAGTTTATTCGCTCCACTTAGAATCTAAAATATCATTAGTTTTAAATTTGTAGGTATGTTCGGTAAAATTATAAAACCGTGCAGCTGTAGGTATATATTTCAATCAATGCGTAAACGAAAATTAAGATCGATACAAGCGATAGAATATAATATTCTTAAATTACTACCAAGTTTTCCGTTCGATACTAGGGATGGATGTACCAATGTGTCGAGGTGAGAAGTCGAGAAGGTAGAATACATAAAGTTATTTAATTTTAACTTGTAAGCAACGATAAACCATTGCAAACGAAAAACTATTCAGTGAAAAGTTCGGTTATATATGTTTTGAAAGGGCGTAATATTTACGATTTTCGTCAAAATTTGATAGTAGAACTCTCATAAAAAAAAACATTGTACTCAACTTTTTTTTGACCTTTAAATACAATTTACAAATTATAATGCACCTCCTAATAAATGTGCAAGCATTTCTGTTTGGTTAAATGATTTTATCTATAGTGTAAGTACCTATAAAATAAAAATTGCGTACAAAAGTCGTAAAATTAAAATTTCTATAAATAACTCAAAAACCAAATATACGTTTTATATCAACATTTTAAGGGACTATGAATGTTTTTAACTGAATCACAATAAAATTGAAAACAATAAAAGCATTGTTTTCCTAAATTTCTCCGTTCTTTCGACGTACTTCTCGATTTTGCTCCATTAAATTTAATTAAAATAAAATCAAATATATAAAAGACATATAAAATCAAAAAATGACTTTCTTGGTCACCTACTAAACTAAAAATTCAACAAAAAAGATTGTCGTTTTTTTATTGGAGTAATACTTTTGCTAGAAAACATAAAGCGTAAATATTGGAAATAAAGGAATTATAATGCCGTAAAATTATCAAATTTCAGTTTTCGTTTTTCCAGCCTTTTCAAATTATTATGAAAAATTCTTAGAAAATAAAAAAACTACTTATTTTGTAAAAAACTATATCTAAAATTCAACAAAAAATATTTCTAGGTATTTTGTGATTATAGCAATATTTCTAGTAGAATACATAGATAAAAAAAAAAAATTAAAACCAATGAAATTGGTAACGTCACGTCATAAGTGTGCCATAAATATTTCCCGTTTTACCTACAATTCTCTTTACCGTTTTTCCCGATTATTATGAAAGTCTCTCAGAAAATCGATAAATCATCTCCCTAATGCACTAACCAAATTTCTTTTTAGAAAAGATGTAACACTTGATTCATCGGTGAAAAATTCCTGATAGAGAAATAGTAAACATCATAGTAAAACTAATAGATTTCTCACTACGTTCTGAATTTAAAATGTATTGAACCTATACGAGTAGCTTTGTTTTTGGCAAACATTTCGAATGTTTAACAACATAAATACATAATTCGCCGATAGCATAAAAATATACGATTGCATTTTTTTTTTTTTTTTTTGTAAAAATACCTATTGTATATTTCAACTACTGAATGCAATATGTAAAATATACACGTATTAAAAGTTTGATATTTATTCTAATCTAGTAAAAAATATTATAAGGCTGTTTATTTTATATTCGGCAAAACATAATGTTCTTCAGCTTAATGTTTTCAAAAAAATAAAGAACGATGCTGCCGATGGGTGTGTCATTGTTGGTAGTTTAATATTTTTTAGTACGCTACGATGAACTGGTGCTAACGAAAAACGATTCTGAGTGGAGCATTATTAATAATATTTTATCCCTTGTTGTTAAAACAGAAAACTCAGAAATCAACAAAAATTTAACAAGTTGCCAGTGTATCCTATTAATTAGGTAAACTACTAAGGAAATTAAAAAAAAAACTGCCGCAATACACCAAAATAAATCGAAAATTCCACAAGAAAGTCTCTATAAAGTTTATGACTAGAGTAAGATTGATAGTAGAAAAGTTTTTTGCGGGCAAATAAATTCATACCGTGATAATACCAATACGATTTTCGCTTCGCTCAGAATCTAAAATCTTTAAGTTATAATTGGAATACTTACTGATTTTTCCGTGGCATCGTCCTTTCCCGTAAATTGGCACATACAAGGCTTTTAACGTTATGTTCAAATTGAAATCCGTGACGAACATAACGAGTGGAATGTCGACGGTCATATCCCACGTGTTCTCTGCCAAATCGACACTGCGGGGATGAAAACATATTTATTACGATTATTGCGCCTGATCGGTTCATATGCACTGTAGGTATTTACGAGTTTATTAGCGTACTTTAATGTTTTAACGGTCATCGAATCGCTACCTTTGGCGGTCAAATTGTACAGTTCGCCGGTCATTCTGATGTCTTGCCGGGTCCCGTGGATGGACACCTTAGGAATGTATAAAGGGTCCAGAGACGGCAAATTCAGTTCCGGAACGCCTGCAAAAAGAGCCGACCATGCCGTGTATATATTTGCATTAATTTTTACTGCGACATTTGATAGACGTACCGTGAAAAAGCTGAGGTTTAACCCGTTTCAATATGTCCAATAGACATTCGTTCAGTTTCGGATCGGTTTTCTTGCACGGTGTCAGGCCGTCTGCGGAAAAATAACATAGGTAAAACAAATGAATATTAATATCGTCGTAATCTGTATCGCATTTTGAAACATAATAATAACATTGTCGTACTTACCGGTTAAAGGTTTACACGAAGCATTGTCCAATGAAAAACAGCAGCACAACACGACCGTGATTAAAAATTTCGGGAAGATCATTTTTTTAAAACGTGATGAATTTGACGTGATGGGTAGACGACGATTACTTCGAAAATGAAGCGTTTTCTAATACGTCACCGGCCCTTTATATAATAATTTATAATATTATTACGAACGTACGTACGAAGCGGAATTTTTAATTCAATTATATTTCAATTTGCGAATGTCGTACGCCCGTATACACAAAAACGACTCGTATAACTGTCATCTGTAACTGTAATACCTATACAGTGCTGTGCCTTATGTTCAGATTTCTCTATTATATACATTTAAAACCGTTTAAATTAAACGGTTTTAAATGCCTTTATACGCGTTAGAGGAATTATACCTATACGCGTGATTTTCCCCTTCGAATATACATGTGATAATTAGGTACGTCAAACACCGGAAATTATGCGTAAACTATTAGTTCGTATTTTCGCATTGCATCATTAAATATAACACAATATTTTATATTGATTAAAAGTTTTCGTTTAATACAAAATAAAAATATGTTTATAAAGTCGAAAATATATTGTAACGTACGTCACACAACCTTCCCACTCCACTCTTTCCTTTTGGATTTTTGGTTTTCAGATACCACCACCATTTAGTTCATCATTTGACTGATATTTTTCAGAATTGTTCGGACTTTTTACGGCCGTTCTAACTGAAATTCTGAAAACTGAAAGGGGGCCGTAAGAACGTTTCTCCAGCCCCCGGATTTGAAAAAAGTTCACGTCGTTTTGTTGTCGTTTGATTTAGTTCGTTTAGACAATATTTTGTTATTTGTTCGTCGTCAAATTGGCACGGTTTTATCATAAACGTTATATGCAACTCACAGTTATTTTATTATAAGTATAGATTTTAGATTCTGAGCGGAATGATGAATTTATTGGTTTTACAATAACGTTTATTTTTTTTTTTTTGTAAACAACTTTTTACTCCAATTAACCTTTTAACAATTTTACTCCAATTTTCGATTTTCCCAACTACAGTAAGTGCTGCACACACGTGCAAAGTATATCCGTCTTTTTTAACATATTTTTGATATATTTAGTCGAAAACACAGTTTTCTGGCCATCATCGATCCTTCAAAAAGCAAATTATTTCCAACATCAAAACCCAAAAAGGTATAGAATTTGAAAAATTCAAAGTATTTGCTTTTTGTGATGATTGTATAGAACTATAATTATTATGTAATCGATATTATTACACTGTTGAGTAAGTGCAGTAGAAATATTAATATTTAATTTTTAAACTTAAGAATTAAAATATAATAATTTAATGGTTATTAGTTATTGCAAATTAATATTATATAATATTAATAAAAAAAAATCTATAATATACCTAACTGTTATTCCAGCAATTTTTATTGAGACTTACCTATATAATATAGTTATTTATAAATATAATTTACATTTAACGTTATAGTCGTTTTACTGAGCCGATTTTCATGCATTTCAAAATCAATCAAAGCTTATTATAACGTGTATACCAACCAAAAAATATACAAATTAAATAAATTAAATACATTTAAATAAGATTTTTTTCTCCCGTTATTGTACAAAGTACGGTGAGCGATTAAGAATAATGAGTCGTTATTTCGGTTATAACGGTTGTATAGGAAGTTCAAACAATTTGTAAAACACTTCAAACAAATACAAACAAATAACGTACTAATCGACGACACCATAAAACATAAAGTTTGTACATTCTTAAACTCTGGGATTAATGAAACGTTTCACGCCTCCCCATTAGTATTTCAGTTACATCTTTCATAGAAATCTAAACAAATTCTGTCAAATAAACGACGAACTAAATGGTGGGGGTATTAGAAAACCCAAAATTAAAAGAGGGGGTGACAGTGTGCGTGCGTGTTACTATATTACTTAAATACTATATTATTAACATATGGATGTCTGCAAAAAAATATAAACAAGCATAGTTATAATTAGATGAATTGGATAGAAAAGATATTGATAGTATACACCATCCTATAATAAATAGGTCGATTACTGCAGGAGTGAATAGTTTCGAGGTTTGTCATTCCAGTATCCACACTTTAAAATTTAAAACTACTAAACCGATGCTTATCTTTTTTAGTAAGGGAGTTGTGACCTTTGTTCCAAAATTTGTTACCCTCTCGAAATAGACCCAGAAAATCAATTTCGCCGTCCTATTTCGAAGTAAGTGCGTAATATGAGAGTACTGTCAAACGCATCCGCCAGTCACTTTTGTGTCGTTTGACTTTATCTCCAAGGATTATATTATTGTTTTATGAACCCCGGGTGAATATACATTATAATCGGTTAATTAACACAAAATAAATACCATTACTGTATTTAGTTGAAATAAAATATAATAATTGGTAGGTACTTCTTATCATTGCAGCGAAATTGCCGCGCATAAAATAAACATTAACTGCATTAACGTGTTTGCATAGGATTTGTAGACAAAAAAAGTTAAAAAGCCGTAACGAAATAAAAAATAAATTAAAAACAACAATTACCTACTTAATTTACACTTTAAAATGCCGAACCATGCGGTTTTCTAATCGTCGTCGTCGGCATTAGTCGCGATGTTTTTTTTCGTATAATTTTCAACAAATCAAACATAATATATATATGAAAAACAAACAAGTATACGTCAGGTCGGAGTACATCACTACTATATATGCACAAGGCTCGATCGGAGAGTCTCGCAGTTGATTGAATTCGACTATTCGCGGTGTTTCAAGTATATTCAGGTATATACGAGTATAGTTATCGATTTTCAACGTTTATTTTAAACGACACCAATAACAATAATTTACCGTGCTCACTGAACAAAATGCTCAAAATTTTTGTAACATTAATGGGTTTAACGGCAATGGCGGTGACCGTTTTCGGTCAGACGCCAGCGGACGGAGACCAGCTCCGTGCCAAAGGTATACAAGGATTTTGTTTTTCTTCGTATGAACGATATAATACATTTTTTTTTTTAACACTACGCGACCGGTCGACCAAATTGATAAATGTTGTGTTCAATCTAAATGTTAGTTTATTTTGATATATACTCCGCAGGCTGGAATTCGATGGCGGCCGGAAAACATTCGTGCAACGGATTTAACGGCCAGTCCGGCGTTTGTATGGTCCAAAATGAGTGCGCGAAATTGAACGGCAAGTCCGTAGGCAAGTGTTTCCCGTACGGTTCGTGTTGTTCGGGTACGTCGAAAAGATAATAAACACAATCATTTTAATAATAATATAATTTTTTCTCAAACGTTTCTCCTGAAATTATATTTTTGATACGAAACATTTTCAATATAAACGGAAGGTAGGGGAGGGTGAAATAATAATAACAACCTTGTAGGAAACGACATAAATATTACGTCAATAGTATAGGCCATAATAAAGTCAAACATGTCGAATCTAATTTGCAACTCGTAAATTAAAAATAAAAACATTTTGAGAAAAAAACCAAACACATGCCTATAATTTATTATAATTTTGTATTAAAAAAAAATATATATATATTTATTAAATGTACATAGCAGTACGATTTTCTATGTTAAACAGTCGTGTCAGAATCGTGTGGTGGGTATTCGGATTTAAGTACGTCGTATTTCAAAAACCCTGACAAATTCCAAGAAGTGTGCGTCTACAAGATCAACATCAAACAGAAGATCTGTCAAATCAGGTATCTAATATACAAATTCATCAAATACGCATAGATAAAATATTATTAAATATACCTATGATATATTTTTTGTTTTTTAGAATCGATTTCGAACGATTTTCACTCGGTCAACCAACCAAATCGACCAATCAATCGGCTTACGCGTGTGAACATGACGAGTTTACGGTGTTTTCAAACGATAACACGATAATGAACTTGCCAGTTTTATGCGGTGAAAACTCCGGTCAACACGGTAAATGCGATTTAGCTTTGGAACCATATATTTACATTGATTTCCGATTTGTCCGATCTACAAAACAGTGTACGTGCCGTTGAACCCACACACGTCGTCGGACTTAAACGACAGACAACAGATTACGTTAAGGTTCCGGTTGACTACCAGAGACGATAAATATAACGATCCGACGCCGTTTTGGAAGTTGAAAATCTCACAGTTGGAATGCACACCTACAATCATGCCGACTAAACGATGGAAGAGTACAGATGACGACGCAGTACGTCAAGTAAGCAGCTCGGAAGAAAAAGAAAACTCCAAGTATAGTTTAGGTAAGAGCTTTTGAAAATAGTATTAGATTTTTAAATGACTGCTGTACAATTTTTCCCTTCTTCGGTATTGTCTTAACCCAGAGATTAGCATTATTACAGCCTTTTCGCATACTTCTTCCATTCTTCTTTATTACCTGTTAATCTCTTTAACCCTTTCATTACCACTGTCAAATTTAAATGGACCTGAATTTTTAGTTATAACTGTGAAGCAATATTTTAACTAAATAATTGATTAAATGATTACTATATGATGGTTTAAATATAAATAATTAATTGAGTAATCAAAGGATTAAGTTTTCATTGTTCCAATATTAGCACCAGCAATGATTTTTTTTTATGAGTGTTATTTGGAGGTGATACCGAAAAGGTAGACTCTTCTGCCTTCAACTAATTTTAGATGCAATAGTTCGCCATATCTAACACGTAGTTATCTTTTTTCTTTAATATTCGCTTCTGACGAATAAATAAAGCTGAGGCGGCTAACAACATGCTGTCTACTTGATGGGCTAGTACTGCGGTGGTTTTTTTGTTTCTTATCACAACGCACTTATTATTCTTACTTTTTCCCGTTCCTGGATCCATTTTAGTCACATTTTATGAACGGGCATGGACCACCGAGAGTCTATGCCTACCAAGAGTGTATATTCTGATATTTTGAATTTATGGGAAAAAATGATAATGCACATCCAATATTTAGCACCGGACGGATGTTTACAATACTTTACGGACGAGGACGGTTCTTTCGAAAGTTTCAACTACCACAAAGGACAGGGCCATTATTTGGGTAATTTAAATTACGCAGTGTGCTTCAAACGGAACGTCACGACGTGTGGAATAAAGTAAGTAACCATCAAGTTATTGTTACCGCTGATTTTCGATTCGTTTATTTTTTTTTTTTTTTCTTAAGTTTTAATAATTTTATGTTAATTTACAATTTTTGAAACTTTGAAAATAATAATTCATATAAATTCAGATTCGAGGCCGTCAAATTTCAAATGGCTTACAACCAGAATCTCACCAGATTTACCGAAAGAGACTGTGATACAGCGAAAATTATTGCAGCATCGCAAACAACTGAAGATGTTCGGACGGCGGAATCTCCGTCCGAGACGGAGACCGCACATTTGCACAATGATTATCTACTCATACCGGACGGTCGTTACTCGGCCGAAAAACTATTCGCATCGAAATACTGTGACGGATCGCTCGAACATATCGACGACGTAAAAAGTATGTTTATCCGATTTTTTTTATTAAATAAATTTTCCCTTATTATACTTTACAAGTAGCTAATATTCAAATTGAATTATCAAAAATACAAATATATAAATGTCAACATTCGAATTTAAACATTCAATATAATCCGAATATTATGAGAATCCCGTATTCGACGATGTACGTAACTAATTTCCGTACCGCGTTTTTATTTTTCTTTATTTCAGTTAAAACTCGAGGACCACTCTATGTGGCGTTTATCAGCGACGATTACTCAAGTCCAGATGAAGACGTCGAAATAGGATATAAGATAAACTATTCGATAATGAACACCGGTTGTTAATAATTACAATTTTTTATATTATATTCTAAATAAAATATTTTCTTTGCAATATATTTATTCAATAAAAAAAAATATATATATATTCGTTTATTCGTTTAAATTTTTAAATGTCTAATGATTTCAAAATTATAAGTGTAATAGTTTCTACATCAAATCCTTTTATGATTTTATTAAAAATTTGACATCCCGTCTGCGTGACCCGGTGTAGGTTAAATATTCAAATACATATAAATATGCTCGTTAAGTATAATATGCACTAACTACAATACAGAATTCAAATAAAATATTAAAATCGAATATGAATTCCTTATCTGTGTATATTGTAAACGTCAGTTATCGTTTTACATAGTTTATTTTTTATTTATTTTTTTTTTTTTTTTGATATCCTTTACGAAATTACAATTTTCGCCCAATTTATGTTATTCGGTTTATTAGAATATTTGTGTCATTAATGCCATTTTGCCAATAGACGGTTTCTTTTATCGGCACGTCGTAAAATACGTTTATTATAATTTATAGCCATACACCAAGTCAGTCATTAATGCAATATTATATTTACATTACAATAATGATTCTTGTAACTGCGAGTTTAGACTCACTTTTAGAGTATGGACTAGTGATCTCACACTACAAACAATAATAACATACTATAGGTATTTACAAAGTTCTCATGTATAAAGTTACTTACATGTATAAAGGACAGACATACTTTGCACATGGGTATTTTGAGTAAGAAGTTGAGAAGGTAGAACACAGACAGGGATTTAATGTATATCTGTAAAAAAACGATAAACCATTGCTAACGAAAAAATTATTCTAAGCGGAGTTCAGTTGATAGTTTTGTTTTGTTAACAATATATATATATATATATGTCATATTATGGTAAAATGATTACAACAATGTGCGTTTCCATGACAACAATGATTGTTTAAAAAATATCAAAATAATAAAAACTTTATAATAACAAAAATAAATAAAAACGGTTACAAATAACCTTATTTTTAATTTTTTAATTTTTTTTTAACCTAAAGAACCAGGTTTTCTTCATAATTTCAAATATTAAGAAGGACTTCAAAAACCGACCTCTCTAAAGTACCATCTAGAAAATATTTCCTTTCAGAAAAAGTACTATACTTGATAATTGAAGAAAGCTTTCTGGTAGAAAGTGTTTAGATAAAAAAAAATATATATATATACAAATTATTGTAAAACCAATACATTTCTTGCTCCGCTCAGAGTCTAAAATACAAAAATTCAACCCTTATCAATATTAATATTTTTAACCATGAATATATTATTTAAATATATTATGTTTTTATTTTATATATTGTTTTTACCATTCTAAAACATCTGCTATTTAAATAGAATATATTCAGACTATAAAATTATAGTCTCTACTCATTATTTAAATAATCCAAAAAAAAAAAAAAAAAACAACCATAGTAAAACTAATAGATCCCGCACTACATTCCGAATTTATAAAAAAATTGAAAAAAGTTAACGCCATAAACATAATCGTTTTCCCTAAGTTTTCCCTGTGATTTTCTAAATTATTAAGAAAGCTACGAATATAATCAAAATAAAGACTCTTTATTACAATAACTGGATCTACATGTCTACAAAAAAGTTCTCTTGTTGTTTTTCTGTTAAGATTTCTTGTAAAACAAAATCTAGCAGGTATAAAAAAAAAGCGACATCATACTATGGTAAAACCAAAAAGATAATTTGGTTTAGCTATGGTAAAATCAATATATTTTTGTATACTTCTCATGTATGTTCGTAAGTACGTATTTTGTAAGGTAACTCTTTCAGCCTTACTTTATATTTTAACGTTTATTACTATGGGTTGATCCATTCCACCACCATGCGCCAGGCATTCCGATGCATCTTTCACCCGAACAACGTTATTGTTACTGAATTGTCTATTCGAAACGCCATTTCATGACGAGTTTGGATATTATTATTATAGGTAGTATTTACTGATTTCTCATCATGAATAATACGTCATAGTAAATAATAATATTATTATTATTTTATACTTTTTTTTTTCACGCACTACATTAAACGCTATGACAAAAATAAAAAATGTACTTACTCCATATCCGATTAGAGTTACCATCATGGCAATCGTTACCAATGCAATTCTTGACCGCAAATAGAAATACAATTTTTTCCACCGGTCTCAGGGGGCTTTCGTTCAGATATTCCATAACACTCCTTCAAAAAGTAATCTAACACACGGTTTTTAAATATACTATAATTAGTAAAATTCCATATTATTATATGAACGTGAAATGGAATTTTTTTTGTTTCGCTTCGCTCAGATTCTAAAAATTTCAGTGCGACAACGGTTAACTGTGGTGATATTGACACAAATTGAAACGAAAAATATGAGGGGGAAAAAGATTTTATTACACATTTGTTAAGCACGAGTGACACAGGATAGGACAGCTAGTATATTAATAAAGTTAATATTTTATCAAGAAGCACTTGCCCCCCTGACATTGGACTACAGTTTTTATTTATATATTTTGTATTAATTAACTGAAAATGTAAATAATGTGCTCCTTTCCCCCTTTAAAAAATTTCTGGACCCGCCGCTGATATAAAGTATTATTTAAGGGTTTTAAACTAAATAACAATTAAACATTCTATAGAACGGTGCGTATATCAGGCATGGATCCAGAGCAAAGATCTGGGGGGAGGGTTGCCCGACAAATTTTTTACGACACAAATACAATTAAAATTTAATATTATACATTACGTATATTATTTTCTCACACAATTCTCATACAAAAATCGGAGAAATAATATATCTGGGTTCCCCCCCCCCCTTAGACCCGCCCAGACGTATAAAAATATAAAAATCGAATGCTGCGTAACTATAAAATGTTTTAATATTATACATCTTGTGTGTTCGTAAAAAGGTGCTATCTTTTCAAGAAGGTGGACAAATCAATGAACGGCATTAATTGCAGTTTTTCAAGTATTTAATTATAATATAGAAAAATGGTACAATTTTGGCGGGCAATATAAATAATGTATCAGACCGACGGGAAACAGACAAATTATTTCTTATATATATTTATTTTGAATACTTTTGCATTTTATTGAAAAATACATCATACATTTCATTTTAATTTCAAATAAACAGTACAAACGAATATAACAATTGGTTTATAATGGTTATTAATTATCACAATTTTTACATTTTATTTTTAATAAATATTTAATTTCATAATACATTTATTTAAAAGATGAATAATTTATTTGTTTTTATTTTTAAATGTCTAATATTTTTGAAATTATGACTATATGAGCATTAATGGCTTCTGCGTGCAAAATATAAGGCAAACAATTGATAAACTTGTGGTGAACTGATACGATATAAACCTTTGTTCGCCACTTTTTTTGTACAGTATGTGCCGTATTGTCATTTATATTAATTAATTATATTTATTTTAATATTTGTATCATCGATGCCGTAATATTCATGGACGGTTTCTTTTATCGGTACGTTTTAAATTACGTTTATTATAATTTATAGCCATTACACCAGGTCAGCTATTAACGCATATATAATATTCACATTAGACTGGTCTCACACTCCAACGAACAACAATAACATACTATAGATGTTTGTAAAGTATTCTTTTATAGAGTTAGTCATGAATATTTTGGTTTTTCTGGTAATTTTTGGTGTAATACATATTTTACTAATTTACACTAATAACTAAAACCTAGTACAAACCTAATACAAATCATATTTAACTAGTTATGTCGGAATACATTTTTAAATGAGTTTAATAATTTATTGGAAAAACGATTCTCACGTGGGAATCAGCCGATTGCGGGCAAAATGATAATCGCAACGAAATTAATTACCCGATTGTGTCGTGTATAATAAAACTTATTTATACTTCATAACCGATTTGAAATTTTTTTTATTAAACGCGTTTCAAGTCATAAAAAACAAAAAACCGTTTTACAAAATTAATCATGTTACATCAAAATTCGATTCTGAACTAAGTTTGGTTAAACATGTTTTAAAATACCGAAATTTCTACAATTTTCGTTAAAATTTGTACTTAAAAGGCTTATAAAAAAAAAAATACTAAATTAAGTCCAAATTTTTTTTTCCCATTAAAATTACAAATTACTATAAACTTTATGTTAAATTGTCAAGCATGTTAGGCCGAACAATTGTGTCCACATAAAATCAAATTAAAATTAAAAGGTAGGTAAATGTTTTACACTATGGGTTGGCCACTGCTATAGGTGAGAAGTTTGAAAAGTATAAGGGAAATTTAAAAGATATCTGTACGTAACGATTAATCATTGCTAACGAAAAACAATTCTGAGCGGAGTTTGATTATACATGTTTTAAAAGATTAACGAGTGGTTATTTTTCCAGTTTTATTATGGACCGATTAAAACTTTTGCCCACCCCCACGCCTTCAAAAACTGAAATGATATCACTAGTTGAACAATCTACATACTAAAATAATTTTATTGAATATTTAAATTTCAAATAAATAATTTACATGTTAACATAAAACTTCGAAAATCAATCATTTAAATGATTTAATACAAAATAAATATAAAATAACAGTCATCGGGAACGCAATGTACTATTAGTATGATACATTTGCTTTGAGTAAAATAATATATATACGTATATAATTTTATATCGATAATACTAAATATAACTGAAAAACTGTTATAAAATATTTATAAACGAACGAGCGTCGGAAATTCGGATGTTCCGTCGTGGACCTCGGATGGCTTCAGATACGCGCAAGCACCTTCTGAAGGATTTGTAGTAAACATACATTTTTCGTCTGCATTTCTCTTCGAGTAAAATTGATCTTTGACGAACTTCACGAATTCTTCGGCACCGGCTGATGGAACCATGGCCACCACGCATCCTCCCCAACTGCGATAGGTATATAAATCCACATTATATAATGTTTGTGAAATATTTTGATTTGTAATATTATTATGTATTCACTAACCCGGCCCCGGTAAGTTTGCAACCGTAAGCACGCCCTCGTTTACAGACGTCTACTAACTCCTCCAAATCCGGATGACTGCACTGATATAGATCACGCAGAGACGAGTGACTATCGTCCATCAGCTTCCCGAGATCTGACGCACTACCGGAATTTTCGCAAAGCTTGCAAAACGTTTCCATCCGTTTAGCCTCTGTAACGACAATATAAGGTCAAATACTATTAAAATAACTACGGCTACAATGAGGAAAAATAACAAATATTGCGTGAGAAGAGTGCTAAAAGTAAATAAAAGATAAATAATTGTTGTAAAATTGACCTTCAAATACGTGTAGAGCCCTTTGATGTAAGAAAAATTCGGTAACGTCAATCGTATTGGGCGTCAAGCTGACCTCGTCTAGTTCGTTTTTGGACACATTAAGAATTTCACATATCTAAAAAATATTATTATTAGTAATTGTTTATTTTACAAACATACAGAATATTATTACGCACTTCTTTCTTGGAATACTTATCAACGTGTAAATGCTGATGGACCAATTCAATCATTTGATCTAAAGTATTTCCCAAATTCTTTTGAAGTGTTGCCAATACCGTCATATGTTTCCATTCTAGATTCAATCGTTTGGCGATTATCTACAATCCGTAAATGAATTAACAAGATAAATAATGAAACACTCAAAACAAAATCATCAAAAATGATTAATACCTGCGAAGCGAGCCTGCATTCCACTACCCTCGTGTTGAAATCGTTTGATGCTGCTTTATTTTTAACGGCTAAACTTTGTGCAACGATAAACTTGACGTCATTCGGTAGACGGAACTGTTTAATCGTCAACGGGTTGAAATCAATACGAGTAGCATAACCTAAAAAAAGGTTAAATTACATTTAGAATTTAATTATACATATACCACCTAAATCCATAACATGGTAAAACTATGGTCATACTTTGGTTTCACTGTATGGTAAAACCGATACATTTATGCATACGTTTCGCATAATATATTCGTAAATACGTATTTAGTACGATAATTCTCGAATTTTACCTTGCTTGGCGTTCACTGCTATCGCTTGATCCATTCCACCGCCTGCAGTTCCGATGTACCTTTCGCATTTGGCACTGATTTCGGCTAACTCTAGTCGGCTAATCTGAACCTGAACAATATTATTGTTACCGATTTGCCTATTCGAAACGCCGTTCCTAACGATTTCGGTTATTATTTAATATACCTATGGGCTATAGTATTTATATTGATTTTCCGTCATGAATACTATATAGTATGATATTGTTATTATTATTTAATAATTTTTTTCATGCTTTAAATCAAACGCTATGACTAACAAAAAAAATATACACACTCCGTATCCGACCAAGGTTGCCATCACGGCAGCCGTTACCAAGGCACTTGAACTGCTCAATCCCGAACTCTCCGGAATGTTACCGGCCACGGCAAATAGAAATCCAACATTTTCTATCGGTCTCAGTTGGCTTTCGCTCAGATATTCTCGGGCACCTCTTACACCGCACAAAAAATAATTCGACCAACACGGGCTCTTGCTCAATGAATCCGTACTGTAATTATTAGATTGCGCATGATGAAATATCTTAGATCATATTCAATGGATAGAATCGAGAACTATAATCGATAATCGGTCATATTAATTTATGATGTATATTATGTTACCAACGAGTCACCAGGTAATTAAACTCTACTGCATATGCTCTAGCAACTAGTCACTTATTTATCTCAGCATATATTATATTTTTATCTATAATAATATTATATTATATTATATTTTATAGGTACCTTATACAGATTTCAGTTTATGACCAATTCAATAAATTCAAGTTTTAATTTATTAAAATGTATATTATAATTATAACTATACATAAGCACTAGTATTTTTTTGGGTGCCATTAAACCAAAAATAATTTTATAAATCAAAATTAAAAAAAAAAAATTAGAATGACTAAATTCAATCGAAAATTTTAATTAAAATCGTTGGAATTCAAAACTTAAAAACAGATTATCACTTGTCTTATCAATTATTTTATATTTATCATATAATATTACGGAATTGGGATAAATATGAAAGAAGTCACTGGCGCATGTGCAGTAAAGGTTATTTACCTGGTGACTCGTCGCTAACATGAACATTAAAATATTGAGCTGAAAATCCATCTATTGTATGTCTATGATCTAAGAATAATATATTATTTTTGAATTAGTAAAAATCTTAGTACGTTTGATTTACCTTATACTCGATATGTTTTTAGAAACATTTTCGTACCGTTCCGAACTCAAGTTAGTGAGCTGGATCGTTTGTTGGTTGTTTATCCTCTTGGCCGCCACTACAATACATTGTTCAATGGCCATCGGAAATACGGAATAACCGCAATAGTCGACGTGTTCTCCGATCAAATTCACTCTACCAGGTACTTTGACGTAGTATTCCGGTTTATACGACTGGAAATTTTCCCGAAAATGTTGTTCCAGTTTTTGAACCGATATGGCATTGTTCGTCGTTGTTCCCCATATGTAATCCACTTCCATTTTAACTTTAAAATTAAAAAATAAAAATTTGAAATGTATGTATAATTAATATAGTTTATCTGAAGCAAATGAATTAGCAAAATATAATAGGTATTTGCACCATCCATGAGTGATTAAATTGATTCTTTATTAATGAGAGGGATATCCCTTTGGTATATCATAGATTATTGTAATAATATAACTGCCCATAATATTTCAATAAAACAGGAAGTTATTAAGTGAAGAATAAATCAATCTCACTTATCCATTTGAATTTGATTAAACATATTATATAGAACAGGTACCTAAAGTGTTAATACCAATATCATGAAGGAATGAAAAAGATAAGTATTTAGGTAAATTGACAACAGTTATTAAATGTTAACACAAATAATAATCTTTTGTATGTGTTTTTGTACCTACCTACTACTTATAATTATAACTTAAGGCTGGATTTAATTGATATTGCAACTTTCTTTGCAATAACGATAAATCAGATTTGATTAAATATATAGCCGATATATACTAAAAATATTCTGTATATTTAATTTTATAATGCAATTTTTTTCAATTTTCGACGTTTTTGCAAGTTTTTGGAATTTTCCCACGTTTTAAAATCATAGGCGTTTATCGTCGTTTGGAATTATTTAGAAGGTTGGAGAGTCCAGCAAGCGATATGTGTCTATATATAAATATACGGTGGCAATTAAATTCAACGTAGTAGTACAGCGATTCGTGTGCGTTTACCTATTGGTACCTTAGTACCTATTTTTTCGATCAGTTTGACCGCACAGTGAACGTATTCGACGTAATGCCTAAAATAAAACCAATTTTAAAAAGTAAATTTTCAAATTGGATTGCTCCTTATAATGGAAATAAAGAAGTATTTTAATCAGATGAAAAGGTTATAGATTTTCGCGTATGAAACAAATCTGTGTCTACTGAAAAAAAAAAATATCTATTAGATCATCATTCCAAAACAAGTAAGTTTTGTATTTTATGCTCATACTACACGTAATATACTACATATTATTTCAAAAATATATGTATATTTTTTTAGTTCAAAACATAAAAACGAATAAAGAAAAAAAACAGCTTTTGATTACTTTTCAAAATTCAATTAATATAAATGTATTTTTTGAAGATTTATGTAATGTTGTTGTAATTTGTTGCTGCAAATAATCCTTTGCATAAGCTGGGCAATCATGTGTTAAAATCATTTTTAGAAAAAACATACTGGCAAATCAATTCCGAACGAAAGCACTTTAAGAACAAAATACATACCAAATATTTATAAAAGAATTATGGACCAAAAAATTAGTGATATTGGAAATAATTACGTTTACATAATTTTTGACGAAACAACCGATCCAAGAGTTTATTTAAATAATATTTTTAATTTCTCATATAATAAAATATACTATTTTCGTTTAGGTTTGACTATTTCAAATGTATTAATTGGTAAATTAGATGAGGCGCCTACTAATTCATATTTAGTTGCATGTAAAGAACTAGAATTCAATAATTATGAAACTATTTGTCAGTTTACTAATTCTTCATATCAAATAATATCCTAGTATTGAACAAAAGATATTACTTTTTATTAGTGATATTGGTATTTATATGATCAAAGCAGCAAAAACCTTAAAAATATTTTTCGTTTATTTCAGGAAAAAAAGGTTTTCTAAAAGCACCATCGAGAACAAAGAAATACCTGTACCACCCGAACCTATTATTACAAGATGGAGAACATGGTTAAATGCTCCACTTTTCTATGGAAATAATTTCGAAGAATTTAAAAACGTGTTTGAAAGTTTAACAGATGATACTACAAGTGTCGAAAATCTGAAACAGCTTGTACAAATTAATGCAGTCAAATGTGGTTTAGCATTCATAAAATTACACTTATCCGGGTTATCCATGAATCTTAAAAATTAGAAAGAATCTAATAGTGAACTACTGAAAAGCATCGATATTTTTAGAAAAATCGAAGATATTTTAACAAGTATTTCTGGTCCAAATGGGAAAAACATTTAAAAAAATGTACGTATGTAATTGAAAAAAATGAATGATATAAAACTTTAAAGTCTTACTATAAAGCCATGTCACGTAAAGCAAATGTTAATTTAGATATAACGTCTACTTTATTAAATTGTTTTAATTATACACCAATAACAAGTGTAGACGTAGAACGCAGATTTTCTTCGCACAAACATATTTTAAGTAATAGAAGATTTAATTTCAATGAAAATAATTTAGAAATATATCTAATTGTCAATTTTAATTTAAAAAAATAATATTTATCTAAATTTTTTTATATAACTTTTGTATTTTTATAGTGCAATTTATTATGTAATTTTCACTTTTTTTTTGGTGCAATTATATAATTTTACTATGCAATTTGTGTGTGTTTTAGATACAATTAAATACGATCTTTAATTATAACCTACCTCGTATACACGCATACATAATTAAATATAATATATAAATAACCTATAATAAAATAACATATTAAATAGGTACCATTTTAAAAGTAATAAATACTCTAATTTTAACAACGTACGTGCATATGCTACGTGCATAATTTAATATTTTTAAATTAAAGAACGAATGGCGCATTATGTTTTTAATTACACTGAACGCTGCGGTTAAGTGATTTACTATACATTTCCAACAAAATGTGTGTTTTTTAACAGGTGCTGATAAATCAATGATTCGCATTTGTAGTTATTAACCGTCGTTATAATGTACAAAACTGGTACAAATTTAGTAGGTTATATAAATAATGTATCAGTATAAATAATAGCTAAATATTTATTTTTGATGCTTTTGTTATTTATTAAAACATCACCATAATCTACGAAATGTAAAGAATTTTATGTTACCTACATCAATTTTCTCTTATAAATATATAATATAAAGAATAATGTACAATGAAACATTTAATCTCATATAAAATTATATGTGGGTTTGAAAATTGTAGACACCCTTTTGAGCGGGATTTGAGGATCAACTATTGAAATTAAAATGATACGTGCATTCAAAATTCCATAAATGGATGGAGTATTTATTCAAATAAATTATGGTATTGAAATTTTTGATTTCCTTCAATCCGTTGACGAAATATTCCACTTTTTAGTTTAGACAAGGGGTAAATATTGGAACATTAGGTATTAAAACGCCGCGCATCGTATCGTATATCACCACAAAAACGCATTGTTTCACTAATCTCCTGCTTAAAATAAAAAGTGAAATATCTCATCAATGGAAATAAAAAATGTCAACACGGAAATTTATTTTTTATCGATCTATCTATGGAATTTCGAATATATGTAGCCATTTGAATTTCAAAATGTTTCCCACATAAGTGCTTTTATTTAAAAAATTGCGTCAATAATCAAAAAAATTACCTCTTTAATTACGATTTATACAACTTAAGCTTTCAGAAAAGTTGCTATAAATAAAAATTGGAGTAAGTTTATTAGGAAAAAACGTGTACACAGTCTAAAAGAAGAAAAAAAGAAAGAAATAAAGAAAGAAATAAACAGCATTGTAAAACCAATAGCTTCCTCGCTATGCTCTGAATTTAAAAATTGTAATAATTTAGAAACATATTTCGTGCAATTTCCTGTTTTTTCAATTTTTTCAAATTTGATGAGAAAATTGAAAAATGACCTCCTTAAAGTACAGGAAAAAAAAATCTCTTTGTAAAACTATAAGTTTCTTCACTCCACTCAGAATCTAAAATGAATAACTTTCTTACGAACGAGATTAAAATTTCAACAAAAAAGGTCTCTTTTCATATTTTTATTGGAGCAATATTTTTTGTAGAAGATATCGTATAAACAAATTAAAAATATTGAAAACGGTAGGACGATAGGAAAACACATTGGAAAAACCAAAAATGACCTCTCTAATGCACTAACAAGACAAACAATTTCTTCCAGAGAAGGTACTTTACTCTACACACTGGAGCTAGAATTCTTTCTTTCTTCTTATTTGAACTTTGTATTAAAATTACAGGCTCGGTCCGAACTAATTTTTAATCTTGAATAAATATAAAGATACATACTAAGATTTGGAAATTCAAAATAGCTTTTAAATATGCTATGAAAGATCCACATGCATTAGAGTTATTTAGTTTTGTTTCGTTTTTTTATGAGAGATTTAAAATTATAAACATTTTGACGAAAATCGTAAATATTATGGCCTTTCAAAACATGTATAAACGAACTTTACTCCGAATCGTTTTTCGTATGCAATGGTTTATAGTTAGTTACCGGTATAATAAAAAACGTTATGTATCTTACCTTTCCAACTATTTTTTAAAACATTTACGATATTTAGTTATTGTTTTAAATATTTAAATGGCACTGTGCCATTGTCCTAAGATAGTATATAAAAATACAATTTTACATCCAGTATCAATAGAATGTGTTCAGAATACATTTGTTGCCAATAATAGAACTCAATATGTATAATTTTCATAACACTGCGATTTTAATAATTTATATTTTATTAACATAACACGTTTATCACTGGTTAGTATAACAAGTAATTTTTTGCATGAATTATGTGTTATAATAGAGTTTGATTATTATACATTTATTTTGACTTTTAAAATTGTGTTAGAAACTACAATGATTAGTATACACAACAATTTAATAAGTACCAACTACTCAATTAGTTATTATTGATTCAGTTTTTAAAACTGCATAATAAAAGTAAAAACTTACTTTTATTATGCAGTATAGTACTACATCTAGGTAGCAATTTCGTATCACTGATAAACTAATAATACTGTTAAACATTTAAACCGGATACGAACATTACAAACGCGCAGCGGTGCGGTGGCGGAAGGAAACGATTATTTTCTGTAATCGCAGGGACGTCGGTTCTGATTTTTTTCACGAGATCCAAAATGCGTTTTGTTTGAATACTGCCTCTCCCTATGCTCCCTGAAGTGCATCCAATTTAAATTGATAACGAAAAGTTAATATTATTATATGTACATACATAATAAATTTTATAACGTTTATTATGTTTTGTTTGAGATTATGTTTCATGGGAAATCATTAATAATTTTATGCTGCCATTAAAAAAAAAAAAAGTGTATAAAATATTCGAGTATTTGTATTAAACCAAACAAATTTAACCACATGAACAGAGCAAAAATAGAAAACTTCAAATCGTTATAAATAACTCGAAAAACGCCAATAATAATATCGAAATTAATGTACCATGTTCTAAAAAGTTTAAATTTATAAAAAAATCAATTAAAGTATCATGTCTTAACGATTTTTCACCCAGAATTAAACGGAAAAAAAAAATCCAAAATTAACAGGAATCGATATTTACTATGTATTTTGTACGTTTTTTTTTCCGGTTTCCCGTCAAATTAATAAGTGTATAACGATAAAAATAAAAATACAAACCTCATCAATTTAAAAAATTCATAACGTTTACCACCAGAAATCGCTCCCGGAGTTGATGGTTGGTGTATGATTTACGGTCGAAAAGTTGTCCATAACAGACAGAAAGAAAAGAAAGCACGGATCATAGTGAAACTAACACACATTCCCCGCTTCGTCCAGACTCTTAAATATGCAACGAAACTACCTACAATAATCTATATATATATATATATAACATATTATATAAAAGCCAAATACCATTCACTTGTTCACCGAACGATCGCTACTAAAACGTAGTCACATTAGTGGCGAAAAGCTATGGCTTTCTATAACTGGACAGCATGGACGTCAAATAGCTAAGGTCCACGCGCCAGGGGTAAATAACCGCGAAAGAAAAAATGCACATTGGTAATTCAGCTTCTATATTATGTTACGTATATTATTATTAATGTATAATAATAATAATAATATACAAGTAAGAAACGTTTGTTTGTACGTCAGCAAAAATCTCGAGAACTACTTAACCGATTTCGATGAACCTTATTATTTCGTTCGATTCCTTATCGTCGCCAGTAGGTTATGGGCCAATTTTTCGTATTATTATTTATGATAATCTATTACTTAATTCTAGATAATGTCACTATCGAAACAACGATAACATGAGATACGGCGATATTATCGGCAAGAACTTTTGCGAGCAAACGGAATATAATTGCCGACGTTCAGTAGGGGGTTGAGGTGAAATAGAAGGATTTGTAAAACGAAAGATGGGGCGAGCGGCTGGTAGGGAATAATGGCGGGGACGTGGGGTTACATATATACGGGCAACGCGGTGCGAGACTGGTCAAGTTGTAATATTTAGATACGTTATAATGTCCAACGCTGCACGCGTATATAATAACTTTCCGAACACTTCGGCCCCGTTCCCGTATATACAGACCCTATCCGAGTTCGGCCCAATCGGTATATCGATACGCGACCCGTGGTGATATGTAATCGATTCGGGCACTACAGACAGTACACTAAACTTCCGCGGAGCATTGTCGGATTCGAGCCGACGGGTAGGTTAAAGTCTTTCCGTTTCCCCTCCGCTTTATCTAAACCCGCGGTGGCTTTTCGTCGACTAGCATTTAGGTTTGCGCTATAATTCGCTTGTCGTCGCAAGATCGGGCGCGGATCAACAGGTAGGTATGACTGGTCATATCGTTTATTGTAAAACACCCAAAACGAACGCGGTTACGTTTCGGCTCGGGCCGAACTCGGGATAGGGTCTGTGTATACGCGTCCCACCCATCGGATTTTATACGAATATCATTACTCACTTGCCAATGCTCTCGTGTTCGTCGTCGGTACGTCGGTAAAATGTTCGCCGTTTGCCTGACCACTAGACGCGCGCCGCCTAGCCGACGCCAACTGCAACACTGGCGTTGCCCGCGCCGCTATAATAATATGATAACCGACACTCGACAACAGTTACCGGCGACGGTGAAGGCGGCGGATTTGGCCGACAGTCGACGACGATTTTATTATTTTATAATATTCCCCCCCCCCCCCCAAACGACATTACCGTAAAAATATCTCAAAACGAGAAGGCCAACTCGTCCAGAAAATATATTAATATAATATAGCCAAATCACAATGTAATATTTAAAAAAAATAAAAACGCGAATTATTTTCGTCGACGACTATATACCATTTAATAAAGACTGTATGATTATAAAGATTGTAATTTTTCAAAAAAAAAAAAAACTTCCATAAATCACGTATGTAAATTTCCAAAATATTTAAATGCGGTACACGACAAACTAACGAAAAAAAAAAAAAATCAACAAACGTATTAATATAATCTGTAATGGATTAACCCAGAAGGTCAACTGCACTTCTTATCCATATCACATTTTCTTTTCGAGTGACGAAACACAAATAACAGTACAGACGATATCGAAGTTGAACAAAAAAAAAAAAAAATTAATAATTATAATAACGATAAAATAGGTACTATTGACTGCCCGTCTTTGGGAAACATTGAATTTCTGAAACACAATTCATAAACTAAAAACCGGTTTCGCCTTCTAAATTTTAAACGCGGTTCTTCGTCGGAGAACGCATCTTCTCTCCTTAAACAAAAAAAAATAAATAATAATAATAAAACACCTTTCTCGAACGGTTACAAACTACTAAGCAATTTTATCTGTACCTACATTATTATCCGTGTTGAAGCGTTAAATCGATAACATTCGGTATGATTGCACTGCCGCGATTATGATGCCTAACAACATTAATTAAAACGTACAACAATTTTTTTTTCGCAGTTCCCTACGGTCGCCTAAACGTTATCGTATTATTGTTATACAATAAATATTAACATGCACTTTCTTGTTACCTCGATAAATAAATAACTATTAATAAAAACAAATGGAAATAACAAAAAGTCGTTTTAAGGTTCCCTGTTAACATTTTTGTATTAAACCGTACAATTCCTCTGAAATTTCAATTAGAAACTTATTTGGGCACACATTACACTCCACGAGTATTTCAGGTATTTTCTGTTCAAATGTTTATACAATTAAAATAATATTGGCGTTAATTGGATAAAAAATAAAATAATGATTTCGCATGCCTTTATTTCAACCATCACGCAAAACGACCGCGTCGATACGTTACGATAATAGGAACAAAAACAGTTCACAGTCGTAATAAATAACATTACGGATTCGATGAGGTAATCCGAGGTACTTTTGCTACAGCTGTGTTTGAGTACCGTGTTTTTTTAAACATTTTTTTTTTTTTACAAGTGTATACACTTCAATAATATTTTTATTCCTACGTGTAAGTGTTAAATGATTTCCCTCGCGTAGAAAAATTATACAGATTATTTCGGCATAAATTGTATAATAATTATAGTAGCGTAGGCACCTAGATATTATAGGTTGGTGTGTACCGTGACATTCAAATCGTATGAGATAATAATATCGAAATAATAAACGCGTAAAAACGCACTAACACGCTATAAGGAAAACGGTTAGGTTACCGATTTGTCGACATATTATATCATACGCATTTACATACTAAAAATTTTACGACAATATCGATAATAATAATTACGATATTGAGTAGAATATTATTATATTGTCATATGCACTCTGATATCAAGTTCAAAGTATTTTCAAGTAGTTTTCCTATGCACCTAATATTATTGTGTTTATTCGATTATGTCACCGCGTCACAGTAAACACATTATGATATTATTGTGTACCGACGACGGCGTTCTAGGGAACACAAATAATTACGAGACACAATAATGTTATAATTTTTCGCCTCCTCCGTGCAAATCAATCGCATAATAAAATATAAAACTTGCCAACTGTCCGTCAAATATAACAACATCAACAGAACCTGCGGTTCGTTGACCACAATATTCGCAAAACGCGATAAATTTGTTGACTATCGATAATATTATAATGAACGATAAATCAATATGTAGTTCCTCGAGCGTTATATAGTTATATGGTTAAATGGCCCTTGGGCTAATGTTGGAAGAAGTGGTAAATACCCGAGTAAACGAATTTGTAAAAAACCGATAAAATATATTGTGACATTTTTCGATTTAGGTCGATGTGCATTACACTATATGTAAGGCGCATTGTACAGATGCATTCATCGACGGGGATTTGATTGAATTTTAGGGGGTGGGGACTATTTTAGTGATGAGCAAAAATAAAAATAATCATCAGTTGTGTATTATAATTCCCTACGTACCCGTTTGTTGTCGCACAAAAAAACGTAATGAACCATATAATAAAAGGCCTTTTTAATTTCGAAGGGGAGCAGAAGGAGCCAAAATAATTATTTATTTATTTTTTAACAATTAAGAGGTGTTAAAGATATTTTGTGGGATAAGTCCCTTTAGCTCCCGCCAATCTCCGTCTATGGCTCACATTCATAGATACCTTTTTCTCAAAAAACTGGTACCAATTCGACTGCACCGCATTATTATTTATTTGATTTGTAGTGATGCAATCAGCGCTGGTTAAGGAGTATACCGGGCTACCGGGTTTTAAGGTTTTCACCGGTCCGAAATTATAGAAAATAGATAGAATCGTCGCAAAATTTGATTGAAAACAAGCATAATTTTGAACCGAGATTTCCCCCCGATATCTTGTCGGTTTAATCCGGTCCTGATCGCCATTGACCAATCGGCAAAGTGTTACCGACAGTTTGGACGGATCAAGGGTTTTATATTTAAGATTTATAGGATTGTTTCTAAGTCATAATACGAGTATCCATATAATAATGTAGTATGGCGTCTTATAGGATTTCGGATTCGAAAAATCCAGTAATGTATTATTATTACGTTATTACTATACGGTCGCCCGGTGACGAGTATAATAATAATAATTTTATTGACAAAATTTCGGAGAAAAATATACTTCTTAAAGTTCCAAGTTTTTGGTAATTGTTATAAAATAAGTATTTATTTTATACTTTAAAAAATATTCAATAATTTTGGGAGACTTTCGATATATTTGTTTTGGGGAATAATCCTCTCCCAAGTTTTGCCTATGGATTCATTAGACATATATACAGAGATTATAATATTGTTTTAAATTGTATCGCTCGGTGGGTGGGTTTGTGTAAAATTAGATTATCAACCGGAAATTTGTGTGTACCTTTATATAACATATTAATATAATATAGGATACGGCGTAGCTGCTAACGCGCCGCCTTTGTAACTAGAACGAACACTTAATTGTTTAAATATTATTTTATTATACGTGAATAATCAGTAAATAGTTTATGTAAATAGTTAATGTACAGTTTCGTATTCGAAATAATACGAAATATAACGATTATAATTGACGGTATAGAGAGCCGAATAATTCGAAAAAATAATAATGATTTCCAAAAAAGTTTTTAAAAAACCCGACTGCGGAAAAAGCGAACAAAAAAAAAAAAAAAATAATATTAAATAAAAGTAATTAAATATGATGGGAAAAATAGTAGCGGACTGATATGAAGCGATACTTGATTTTGAACGATGACATACGCGGCACGAATTGATTCAAATGGATATCAGAAAAATATAATATATTTCGTAGCTTCAAAAACATTTGAGTTGTACAACAGAAAACGGCTTATTTTCACTTTGCAAATAACATTTTAATACTATTTTAGTTATGTATTATGTAGGTAGAACGTCAATAAGGGAATAAAATAATCATAACATGATTGCCCCGTGTTGCTTCTTCCCCTCCCTCTGAGGCAATACAGGTAATATGATTCATTGCGCATGCTATTCTAAGCTATGCGGCTAATGGACTTAATTTAAAAATTAGAAAAAAAATTGAGTTGTTCTTTTGTTGAAGTATTATAATATAATATAATATTGTCTACAATAAATCACAAAAGAAAAAACAAATTGAATTCACCAAAATTCGTTATTCATTAACAAATATAACAGCATTTAATAATATTAAAATAATATACATTGGCTTTTGCTATAAATTAAACACTAAACAGTTCCTAATTTTTATATATTTATAATGTATTTGTGTCTAAAGAAAAATAACAATAATTAAGGGGTTTATATAGGCAACTCGCTATAACAAGGAGTATTACAGTGTTTCCTAGCAAATCTACGAGCATCCCGTATTCGAATCTATAGTATTTGCTTAAGCCTGTGGCCTAATGTTTAATCTTGGATGCCAGGTTTTATTCCTAGCATAACATATTTAATAATAGATCCGCCATCTGTCGACAATTATTGTTTTGTTAATCATTACGTTATCGTGTTATCGTTTTCATATTATTGTTTTGGCGTTTTAATCTGTTTGTAAAGTTATTCACAGTAATCGATCAGTCGGTGACAATTACATAGGTACGCTTTGATTTTATTATCGTGCAGTCGTATTCAATTTTAATTGAAAATTTGTTATTCAAGTGTATAATTTTAAAAATGCATACGTTAAATTGATTTGACCCATGAGTGGAGAACAAAACCGCGAAAACTGCATCCGTACATATAAAATATCACATGAAAACTCTGAAAAAAATAACGCTATAAATATTTGTAAAAATATTAACAATACCGATGGCACCGAATTGGCAGTGATTTATCATTAAGTGAAAATGTAGAAAACATATACATAAAACAGTTCCTATCCTACTAATGTGTCTTATTATAAACAAAAACCAGTTTTAGGCGTTGATGACAAAAAAAAACTTTTATATGCCCGGGCGAGGGGGAGGACGTTGAAAATTTGGCTCTCGCATCCAAATTTTGAAGTTACGCCACATGTATATAATATATTATATATCGTCAACCGAAGTTCCGCAAGGAAGCCACTTGAGTTTCCTATTAATTTTTATTTAATATTTTTATTAACACCATCATGTACTCAGCCGATTCTCCTTGTTGTCTTCTCCTTTTTGCCGACAATTCTAAGATTTTTCATGCGATTTTCTCATTAAATGACTACCTCACTCTCCAGAACACCATTGATAAATCACTACCTGGTGTCATACTTTTAATTTATCATTTAATATCACCCAGTGTTTAATAATATAATACTATTTAAAAAATGACGCATAAAGCAAACTTATTAAAACACTTACAGTACGGAGGCATACGTTTAATTTTTTTTTTCTCTAATCCCCACAACGATTTTCTCCATGTTTACTTTTATTATTACTTTAGTTATTAAGATTAGACTTTAGCTACAACTGTATCACATTGTTACCTTGAATTTATACTCGTATATATTCTTGTATTATGCTATTTTGTAAAAAGCCGATTAGCGTTAATTCTAATATAATAAAATGAAAAAATAAATGTACGTATAATTAAGTCAGAGCAGTACTTAAAAAATTCATTTCATGTAATTAGAAAACTAAATTTGTAATTTTATGTTTTATATTACATTTTTTCTTTCAGAGATATTTTGTTTTTTTTATGCTTATTGCAGAGGGCTATTTTTTCAAAATTTCTTTCAACTAACATTTGTCAAAACTAAAATCATAAACGAAATCGTAAAAGTGTCAAAAGAAGGAATGTCAAATTAAATATATTTATAAATCAATCAAATTCATCAATCGATTAATACTATGCCTGTAATGTTTAATAATATTTCTACTCATAAATTCATAGTTAAACCGACGAAACGTAAATAGTAAACGTTTAATTAAGAAAAAAAGTCGTTATTATTTTAAACAATTAATATTTTTTCGATTAAATCGCTGGAAAAAATTGTTCACAGCGTATTATTTCTAGTGTATATTTCAGGGTACGCGTCCTACTTGGACGCGTACATTAAAATACATTAAAATATACGATTTGTTTATTATCGCGCAATAAGCCGACATTTTTATAATATTTTACCAAAGAAAAAAATAAATGTTAATTTCAATACAATAATACCAATGTATTTCGTATAACGCTATTAATATACGTATTAATATCATATTTGCCCTTCAGGAGTGAAATATACCTGCGTATTATAATAAACAGCACCGCGATATTTATTTTTCGACTTGTCGCTCGCCCTTCGGATTTTAATGGCCGTCGAGCTTACCCCCACGGGGGACCTATAATCGCCTCTGGTCGTATAATACCCGGCATTATAATATTATTGCTATGGTTATACTATGGTGAACCGGCGGAGTATTTTCCAATTGGACCGTCGCTCGTAAAAACGCTCTAGCCACCGCCGCCGACGACGTGTTTACGCGCCGAGAATGTAAAAATAAACCGAACCGCGCGGGGGTCGTGTCCCTCGAAGTGATTAAATCCAATCTGATAAAACGCGAGTTCTGCGTCATGGCCGGCTCGTATAAAATACTAAAATGAATTTTGATTTCGCGTACCGCGCGAAAATCGAACGCGATGTCACGTAATGTCATTGTTGTTGTCGGCGTTTCGATTTTCCCGGAGCAGGATTTTAGTGAATATCCATTGTACATACACACTCTTTGCTTTTTTTTTAAAAAAAAATGTCCTTGAGCAGACAGACCAAATATTACCTTTGAGTCCATAGGTGCAACTAGACCACTAACTTTGGGCGTGCTAAAATTATAGACCCATGGAGACAGGGCAATTCTCCCAAGATCCCCTTTACACGACATTTATAATAAACAACTACACATTTCAATTACAATTCGTTATATAAAAATGCATCATAACACTTTTAGATTCTGAGCGAAGTGAGGAATGTATTGGTTTTAAAATGTTGTTTATTTATTTTTATTTTTTCGGTGAACAATTTTTCTACCAGAAATGTTGCTCTGATTATCAAATGTATCACTTTTTCTGAAAGGAAATTTCACTAGGTTAGTACTTTGAGGAGGTATTTTTAAATTTTTCCAGGGGTTTTCATAATGAATGGGGAACTATTTGAGCACAGAAAACCCCCTTAAAAAAATGCTCTGTTCTAGAGTGAAACGTTTTACTACACTTTTACATATAGCATTATATTATGTTACAATTTTATTAGTATACAATACTAAATATTTGAATATTTATTAGGTTATTATTATTGTATTGTACAATTTGTTTATAAATCCGTGGTGTAAACACCACGATCATTATTTGTTACTAGTTTCAACCAAACTGACGTCGGACATTTTACAATTATTGCATTTTTTTTTACACAAAATTTACTGCAAGATAATGTCTAAGACGAAACTTTTTAAAATTATTATGATATACGTTTTATGGAATATTTTTTTTGTTTTTTTAGTTTTAAGTGCAAATGAAAATAGTTAAAATAAAATTTAAAAATTATCGAAAAAAGTTACACTTAAACTACACAGGCGATTACGTAATAGTTGTATGTGCAAATAGTTTATCGAACCTCGTTTTAATCATTGTTTTTCTAATTGTTTCGAAAATAATACCATGCCGCCTAAGCGTATAGGATAAGGTTTGCCGGTTACAATATAATATTATTACTATATTTCGCTATCAGCAATTAGTCTGACTTAAACAACGATAAATAAAAAATGTTTGTCGCTGACAAACACGGACGGGTTTACTTGGAACTTCCAGTACGAGAAAAAAAAATAAATAAACGAATATCAAACATTCGTGGTGGAACTCAGAACCCGGATGGATATATAACCATTTAAAGTATGACACGATAATCGCAGTCGAAAGATCCAGTCCATTCGAAGAGTTTGGTGCGCTCGGTTTTTGCTAAAGTATATCAAAAATTATACGACCAAAGCCTCTGTAAACTTTGTAGGTACATCAAAAGTGCCGGGAAAATGTTTAAAATGTTCGCAGCAATAACGGTATGCGCAGTGGCGGCACTTACGGTTTCGGTCGTTTATGCCCAGACGCCGACGGACGAGCGTCAAGCCAAAGGCTTAATGTTTGGTGAGTTTCAAAATTGATATGGCATACATTATTATTCAAATACGAACCTGTTGAAATTAAAGGGGCTAAGTTTTTTGATAAATGTACAATTCGTTGTTGTAGACGGATCGTTTATTTTTTAAAAGAGTCAAATACCACCTATATACGCGTTAGTTACAATATATGCAAATTTTAATATTTAGTTTATTTATGATTGAGTAGTGGACTCAACTATTCCGAAAGTTTGACTTTTAGATTCCGAGCGTAGCGAGGGGCTATTGGTTTTACCTTAGTGAAAAAAAATAATTATTAAGATTTCTATTTTTATTTTTTTAGTCTGTGTACACATTTTTTCCTATTAAACTTGCTCCGATTTTTACATATATGATGTAGCAATTTTTCTGAAACCTTTAATTGTCTAGATTGTACTTTAGAAAAGCCATTTTTTTGGTTTTCGACGCCATTTTTAAATAAAAGAACTTAAGTGGGAAGAAACACAGAAAACCGTACAATTTCACGATTTCTTTATTTTATAAAAACACGGACGACGTTTTCTACCAAAAAAAAAAAATGATTTAATCGAAAAATCACAAGGTGCTTTTTTGTTGTCTTTTTGATTTACTTTCTTACGGTACTGTCGCCAAAACTTTTGAGCCATTCTTGAGTTTTTAAGAAATTTTAAATTTTGGATTTTGTTTTGCTGTAATTCGGTTATAAATACATTTAGAGACTTGAAACTTGGTAATAATACTTATATTGGTCTTACCTAGACGTGGTAAAATTTTCAAAATCATCGGATGACTATTTTTCCTTTTTTTAAATTTTGTATTACCGAACTGCACTCAGAATCGTCTTTCTTCAGCAATGGTTTATCGTTGCTTACAGATATAAATAAAATAACCTTATGTATCTCACATTCCCCACTACTCACCTATAATAATGGCCGTATTCGTCCCCAATATTATTTATTTTTTTGTTTGTACGTATAATAATAAATTGAATGACTAATAATATAATAATTCAAATTAATGTTCAATAAAATGTACCTATTATTTTTTTATTTTTTTTTTACTCGGTTTTTTATACATAATCTTCTTATATTATATTTATATAGTTTGATTTTTAACCGATACTTTTACGCGTGTTTTGACCGTACAGGTTTTCATATGATGGAAGGCGGGAAACGTTCGTGCAACGGATTCAACGGCCAGACCGGAGTGTGCGTGGGCCAAAACGAGTGCACAAAAATGAACGGCAAGTCGGTGGGCAAGTGTTTCCCGTTCGGTTCTTGTTGTTCGGGTATGCCGCATGAAATATAATAATTATTATTGTTATACGTTTCTCAAATTCATTTCGTATGAACTATACATTTATTTTTTTTATTTTAAAACATCTACGTTTGTAAATAGCTAAAAATATTTGTTGTACTATACTTCAGTAACATTTTCTTCATATACCATAGGTACTATACGTATAGAATAAGAAAGTAAAATTTTCTCCTTTTAGTTTTCTACAATTGTTATTTTTTTTTTTATTAGACTATTTTTTAAGACATAAAAATTGAATCGATGGTTTTTCATAAAACAAACTATACGATTTTTTAGTAACTTACAAATATCATCAAATATATTAACTAAGTACATATAACAGATGAATAATTAAATACTTACATTTTCGGTATTTTCTAAGTTTTTAAAACTTTCATAAAACGTTAACTATATATTATATATGAAAACAAAAAATTCTAAACGTTGAAAAAATATTTCGCATAACATTTTGTCAATATGGGTTTCAAGTTGCACCGAACTCGTGCGGCGGATATTCAGACTCGAGCACGTCGTATTTCGAAAGTTCCGAAAAGTTCCAAGAAACTTGTGATTACAAGATCAACGTTAGACAAAACGTCTGCCAGATAAGGTTTGTAGCAAGAAATTTTCAGCGGTTTCGAAAACGAAACCGTATTGAACATTATTTTAAATAACATGTTATTTTTGTAGAATCGATTTCGAACGATTTTCACTCGGCCAACCGACCAAACCGTACAACGGTTCAGCGTACACCTGTGAGAACGACGAATTCACGTTGCTCGTTAACGACAACACGAAAATGAACATGCCTGTTTTATGTGGTGAAAACTCCGGGCAACACGGTAAATGCGTGAACGCGTTCGAGCTTTTTTTTATTTTTTAACCCTCACAATGTTCAACTGTTTCGATAATTACTATGTATAGTATACGTGCCGATAAACCCTAAAACGACATTGAATGACAGACAACAGATAACGTTGAAATTCAAATTGACCGCCAGAGACGACGACTATGAAGAACCAACGCCGTTTTGGAAGTTGAAAATCTCGCAACTAGAATGCCAAGTCGCGCCGACCAACTGGTGGAAAGTAAAGGATATTGCGCGTCAAATCTTAAAGGAGAAATCTGCGGAAGACGTTAAAACTACCAAATATAGTTTGGGTAAGACGGTTTTGAATGTTGTACGGGTTTAAAATAACGGAATTTTATAACCAAAGGTTTGTCTGGAGGGGGGGGGGTCGTATATTATTAACAATAATGAAAGAAAACCATATCCTTTACTCTTTGACTAATATATGATTTACTGTTAGCACCGGAGGGATGTTTACAATACTTTGCCGACAAGGACGGCTCTTTTGAAAGCTTCAATTACAACAAAGGAAAGGGACATTACTTGGGCAATTTAAATTACGCGGTTTGCTTCAAGCGGAACCTAGACACGTGTGGAATTAAGTGAGTAAATCGATAAAAATATAATACACATACTCGTATAGGTATTGTTAAAATCAAAATGAAATCAATAATCGATATTATATCCTGTGCGTAAGACCAAATTTAAGGTGGGGCACGGGCAACGATCTTGTATTGCGCCTATTTGTTATTTATCATGTATATATATATATATAATATATATTTGTATAAAAATAAGGGTACATTTTTTTTTCTGTTTGACTGTTATGTTTTACTTGAAAAATATGTGTTCGTATTTTTTCGGGAAGAGATGAGACGACAAAATTGTGATGCAGGGGCAGTAAAAGTCTAAATACGACTCTGCCTGTTCGTAAAATCTAAATTAAATTTTGTGTTATAATTTCATAGGTTTATTTGGCCTCTTAGACTGTCCTCGAAATAAATCCTCCGATTATCTCTATGTGTATCGCAAAAATTTCAAATTTTACTTCGTAAAAGCTTTTAAGTTCTTTTCTTACTTACATTCTTCACGCATCATTTTCTGTCTTCCCAAAGATCTTTTCCCATTTTAGGTTCTGTTCCAGCAAATATGTCTTCATGTGGTAGCAGGTACGTTTACAAAAAATATTTCGAGGGGAGAGGGATTAAGGTTGCACACTTTCATACTCATATAACAAAGAAGTTTACATAGTTTTAATTGTAGGGTTATTTATTTTTCATTAAAAATGTCATATTTTTTAACATTCATTTTTAGTCTTTTAGATAGCTACTACTTAATTCTACACTATTTGTTTAATGAATACAGCCTTAATGATAACGTAATTCATATTAATGTGATGATAATGCGGACTATGCAATATCGCCGTATTAGTTACAATTTTCTAAAAGCAGGAAAGCTACTACAAATTAGAAATGACAATAAGAACAATCTATTACTACTATCTACTAATAAAATTAAAATTGTATTTCTTACAATATTTCTAATTATCTTCCTCATTGACAGAAACCACATTTGAGACTATTAAAAATTTACTTTCATCATAATTTTCATGAATTTTTTTTTGGGAGGGGGTTATATGTATATAATGCAATATTAAAATGTTATATTAAACATATAAACTTCTATTACTTATGTTTATATTGTTTTGAGCCATTGTAATCGAATTTAAACCACTCTCCATAGGTTCGAGGCTGTTAAATTCCAAATCGCATACAACCAGAATCTGACCAATTTCACAGACCGAGATTGTGACACATTAAAAAGCGTCTCCGAATCAACCACTGTGGCGGCAACCACTCTAGCGGCAACCACTAAAGCGGCAACCACTGTAGCGGCAACTGCTGAATTGGTATCTACTGAATGGGCATCTATTGATAATGCTACAGAAAAGGTAACGGTAAAGTACAGAGACGCTAGAAAAAGAAAACTGCCCGCCGTCAATTCCGGGGTGCACAGCGATTATTTACTTATACCGGACGGCTATTATTCCGAAACTCTATTTGCATCAAAATATTGCAACAAATTGTTAGAAAGTTACGACAACGTTAAAAGTACGAATTATTTTAGCTTTTATTTAACGTTTATAGTATTCAAAATTAAACTTAAAATAAAATAAAAATCATAAAAATAGGAAAACTGTTAGCAAAATTAGCAATATTAAAAATTATAATAATATCGTTTTCGTTTTCAGTCAAAACGCAAGGTCCCCTCTATGTGGCCTTTGTCAGTGACGATTACTCGAGTACTACGGAGGACGTGGAAAAAGGATACAAGATTAATTATTCGTTGATCAACATGGGGTGCTAAATAAATATTTAAATATAATTTTTTATAATATTTCATAGTATACTAATATATTCCAATAATATTTTGTTCTAATCAAAATTTGCATTTCTTTTTAGACAATTATCGTAAAAAGACAAACTCATTGTGTATAAGATATTAAAATATATTGTAAGTTTATAACAAAGAAAATTAGTCATTAACTTTATATAATATATGATGGATCGCGTTTTATATAAAAACAAATATTCATATAGTTATTCATAGTTCTTGTAAAACGAATTTGTTCAAATAATCAATAAAAAACGAAAATATAAAATAATAATAATAATTATTGTGGTAATAATTTTTTAAAAAAATTAACAATATATCACTTACTATTATATGATATTTGGTTGCTAGGACCGTATTGTCATACAAGATACAACCTTGACTCTTTATTCACCTATCTACTGTCAGTAACTTCCAGTATAATCCTTTTCCTAAAGTTTCCACATCTTTAATCTTTCATCAACATCGTTAACATTCTCCCATCTCATACGTTCCAACTGGTCTTTTTCCAGTAAGACTTGTCATGCATTTCCAGTTTACTGTAAACTTTTACTCCTCATCATGACCAATAAATTCGGAATTTGCGTTATAATACGTAACTACAGGACGTAAAAATGTAGCGTATTGACACAATGTTATTTCTTTTTCAATCTAATTTTCATCAAGGAATAATGACACTATAGGTATTTGAATTATTTCATTCTATTGAAATAATTGCGGTTACTTACGTTTGTAGTTGTATATATTGTCGTGGTGTCTTGCCTTTCTACGACCGTGGATGGCACGTGTCATTTTAATTTACTTAAAGTCCAACATTTTCAATATTACTTTTTCCAGTCCATAGAACATTCAGGTCTTAATCTTCAGTTTTGCGATTTCTCGCCTACATATGCCAGTACTCTCATTGACGATTCTTAACATTTTACCTTTATTACAGGATAATACTAGTCTCTTTCATGTTTTTCTCTGATATTATATTGAATAAGATTGGTGATATAGCAATTTATTAAGACAGCCAATATTATAGATACTTATATAATATTTTCTTAATAGTATCTATTATGATTTTTTAAAAAAGTATTACATAAAATAAAACAATATTTGTCAATAATTATATTTTCTATTAATAATTTATAGATGTTTGTGATTGGTAGTATAAAATAATAATTTTAAAAACATAAACTTACGACTAGTTCTAAGTGCTATCATTTTTATTAATTATGCGTCATAAAAGACAAATGCAATTCGATTGTTCAAGAAAAAAACAAATTCAATATTCAATCAATACCTGTATAACTCTTCAGTTAACAAAGATACTAAAATAAAAAAAAAACGTCCTAGAATAATGATAACAGGTGCAGCCACTATTATAGATAATTTAATGTATACCTGTAAGCAACGATGAACCATTGCTTACGAAAAAACGATTCTGAGAGGAGTTCAGTTGATAGTGATGCTTTGTCAACAATATGTATATACCATTTTATAGTAAAATAATTAAATATTTTCTTTAGTAATATTTAGTTAATGTTGTACTGATTTCACCCAGTTTTCCTACGTTTTTCCCGGTTTTTTCATGTTTTATCCCGTTTTTTCACATTTGCTGGGAAAACTCTTAGAAAAATTGAAAAGTGACCTCCATTCTGTCTCCCAACGCCGATTTCATTTCAGAAAAGATGCTACAATTAAAAATTCAAGCGTTATTTAAAAAAAAAAATATTTTTGTAAAGCTATAAGGTTCTTCGCTCCACTCAGAAACTCAAAAAAAATGTATACAAATTATCGCTAGTTGGCAATTTATTTTCTTTGCAATTATCGAATATTTTTATTGAATCACTAACACTATAGTATATTATGGACGCTTACGAAAGTATTGCGGAAAACTCAAAATGTCGGCCATTGTTGTTTCCTATAGTATAGTCATTCTCTATGCTTTCTATAAGCTTATTGGTCGACGAAAAGTCGTTCCGGGAGCGATGAATAGGGGTGCGTCACCCATGATAATTTCAGTACCGTCTTGCTGGGGACCGATTGCAAATATCCCGAAAATGACGTCAGAAAAGCCATAACAATGAAAAACAAACAAGGGTTAGTGCCTTATTTGTTTATCGCTAAGGCAGTACTAGAATAATAAATTTTATCGCGTTTTATATGTTCTGGAGTTTTATTATACAGCCATCTAATTGACTCGTAAATATTTGTATAGATTAATAAAAAAAATAGACGTAAGCTAGATAGGCTATTGTCTGATAGGCTATTGTAGTGCCTAAGTGGGAAGTTTGATTAGTATTGGATATACTATAGTTTAATTTACAAGGTAATAGTTTAATCGAAAGACGAACTCAAACACAGTTTTTTTTCCAGTAAAAAAAAAAGAGCTAATACTGAGGATGGGAGCGGCCATTGTTTTAAGTGAGAAGTTAGGTAGGTAGTATACATAAGGTTATTTTATTTATATCTGTAAGCAATGATAAACCATTGCTTGACGAAAGACGATTCCGATCGCAGTTCGGTAATACATTATTTGAAGTGCCGTAATTTTTTTGAGATTTTCGTTTAAATTTGATTTCAAAACGCTTATTAAAAAAAAAAAGTCGTCCGATGATTTTGAAAATTTTACCACGTCTAGTTAAGTCTAATTTAAGTATTAATACCAAGTTTCAAGTCTCTACGTGTAATATGAATGTTATCATGTTTAGTAGTAGCTAATATTACAATACAAGAACAAAATCTAAAATAATTAAAAACCATTAATGTTGTAAGCTTTCCCGTTTGTTTTCCCCGGTTTTACTAATTATTATAAAAACTGCTTAGAAAATAACAAAAATGACCTCCTCAAAGTATCAACAGGATGCAAAATTCTACAAAAATATGTTTAATTGTAATTTTTTTATTAGAACAAGATTTCTGGAAGAAAAGTTATTCATAGATATAAAAAAATACACATATACCTGTTATAGTAGAACTATTTTAGTATAAAAGTATGTTAAGTGTATTAAACTACATTTATTACAAGTAGACTCCCGAAATTTTTTCAATTTACCCCTTCCTAAAATTATCTTCAAATCCACTACCTAATGAAACGTACATTACTGATTGATTTTTGATGGATCTGTAATGATGGAAATGTGGCCGATATTATTGTAACCCAATCGTCGAAAATAATAGTTTTTTATTATGAATCAGATTTTTTTTTAATTATCGTTTAAAAACCTATGTATGGCTATCATAATAGTTGAAAGATATTCTACAAAAACAATTTGTTTAATGGAAAAAATGATTCAGACGATGAGCGATCTATCATTTTCATTATTGCAGCGCCATCTGGTTATGAAAGTAACGACAACATAGTATAATAAACTATTCAAATAACAATAAAAGCTGTTATGTTACAATAACCAAGCAAACCGATAATCATAATATTATTATGAAACTCGGAAAGTCGGAAATATATAATATTATAATTCTAACGAAATAACGATTTTATGATCTTTGAATTATTAGTATATTTTCTAGTAAATAGAATTATACGTACGGTAAAGCCCGCCGGAGGAAAAAAATTGGTTTTCTATAACCGGATTCGGGAGTTTTTTCAAAAGGGGATTTTAAAATATACGTGGAGTATAAAATATACGCGTATCATTATCAACCGAATATAGATACCTAAATCGTGGCAGGCGAGGGTACGGTGGTGCCGTGTACCTATTGAACATTTTACCGTCCGCGTGTTATTATTTACGACTCGTACGTGTACGAGACGATTCCCGTAGACCTTTTTTTTTTTTTCTTTTCGCTCTGCGTACTTTTCCGGTGTTTCGGTCGCCGGCAATACGTCTTGCTCCCGCGAGTCACGTTCGGCGCGTTCTTACCCATAATGTCCCCGGGTGTCGTATACCATCCTCGATATCACATTATGTTATATTGAACTCGTCAACAATACCGGTGCGTACGCGCGTGCATACGAAAAAATCGTCCGATATAATATTGTTATTGCTATTGTCGTTACTGTCAAAACTCAATCCCGTCGTATACCGGCCCGCCGATTAAAATTTTAACATCCGCCGCAGTACACGTGCGTTTTATGCTGCGGTACAATAATATTATTTTACAGCCCGCGGTGTATTGTCGTCGTGCAAGGGGTTGCCCAAAGTCTCGTCGCTTTTGACGGCTTTATAATAATGCCGTGGCACACACGGCACGCCGGCGAACCGAATATCTCTATAATACGAATATTACTGTAATAATAACGTGTTACGACGGTCGCTGAAAATTCTACCCGGGATACCGAATATTTTCCCCTATTTTCACAGGTTTAGCGCCCCCGAAAGTGGATACTACCGCGTTATACGAAAATCATATTGTTTAGAATACAACCGGGGAAAAAAAAACAACCTGTTCTAGGATAATGGGGACGGGTACAGTCACTGTTATAGGTAATTTAATGTACATCTAATGTAAGCCACGATTAACCGTTGCTAACGAAAAAACGATCCAGAGAAAGAGTTCGTTCGGTTGATAGTGCTGCTTTGTCGACAATATAGGTATATGTCATATTGTGGTAAAATACTTACAAATGCGTTGTATATTTTCTTTAATATTGTACCTAATTTCCCGTTTTCCCTACGTTTGTCTCGGTTTTTATTATAGCATTAAGGCAAACATAAAAAAAGCGATATGACAGTGGTAACAGTTAGATAATAGCCTAGGTACAAACTCGTCTAGGAGTGTAAGAATCATACACGCGCATCGTTCTAAGTAATGTTGCATTGGCTGCAAAGGTGGATCGACTAGTCTGTATGTAAAATGTGCCCTGAAAACGAGTGTTTCTGGGAATGCGGATGCTGAGTTTCTGTAATAAACGAGATGCGTCTATTTGTCCATTTAATAATCTCGAGATAAAACGATAACTTAAGGTCTGGCGTCTAGATGATTTTATGCAGATGACATTGCCATCATAGGGAATAATGTAGTAGAAGTTAAATCGTCATGTCACAAACTCGTAAAAACTGCGGAAAAATTTGGTTTACAAATGATAATAAAACAGTATATCCAATGGTCAATAGAAGAGAGGTTAACGGTTGTTACGTAATTTTTATTCGATATAGGTATTCTGTGGATAAAATTGTTAGACAAAACAGAAATGCTTAAAATTTTAACAGCAGGTTCATTTCAAGTCGTACTTAGTGGTAAAAAAAAAAAATTAAGTGTAATGTAGACATTTGTTTTTATTCGAATTTTAGTATCAAATTTTG